AACCCCACAAAATAACAAATTTACCATTAAAGTCTTCTAATTTGATGTATTCTTAAACTCAGTAACCAAATCAAACTAAATAAGCCCCAATAGATAATTTTAAACAATAATACAACAATTTTGATAGAATTTAAAATGTACTTAGAGACTCTGAGGATCTATTGTAATAAATTAATAAATAATGAATATTATTTTATTAACAAAATCTTAGATTTTAACCATATTATAAATATATATATATAAATTTAACTCTACAATCATTATTATGGTTTAGGGCATTTACCGTATCTTTTAATGTAATCATTATATTTTTTTTAACATTAAATTGCAGTCCATTAAAATGTATTTAATTTATGATCTCTTTTCATAGATTCCCAATCCTATTTATATTTTTTGACTAGTGCTTCTATTGCCCATTCATCATCAATATTCATTCGGACTTTATTTTTCTTTTTTTCTACTTCTTCTGGTTATAATTTTTATGTTGCTTATCTTTACAATTCTTTTATTTAATCTATAGATATTTCTTCTGCTTCAATGTATTATTGTTCAGGGGCTGATTCCTTTTATTTTAATTCATTAGTTATTTTTTAATTAATCTAAAAACCTATATTCATTCCCAAGTTAGTTAAGTTTTAAGTAAATGAAATATTTTTGTTCCATCCTGGAATTTTATTTTACTCTTTTTAAGTCTTTGTAATCTTTTTATTTCTTGAAAATAAATGCTTGTGAGATTTTTAGGCACGTTTGACAGTTTTTCTCCTAGCCATACAATAAATTTATTATAAAATATTTAATTTCACTCTCTAAAATAAAATAATGTAGTTTCTGAAAATAACAGATGTTTATAGTTATCATTCATATTTACTCTCAGAACTTCTATCTAGGATATATTTTTTGAGAAATTTATCTTCAAATTAAATTAACTATTGCATTAATTCTAAATCTAAATTAGTTCTGCTTAAAATAGTATAGAACTCATCTAAATATTAAGCATTTCTTCCAAATTTTCTTCTAAATTGTTTAAAGACTTCATTGATCTTCTAAATCTCTTCTTCTGATTTTGAATTCCATATTTTTAAATGCAATAAATTTGTTTTTTTCTTTTCAATCTGTTTTTTATTTAATATTGTTGAAGGAAGCTTTACTTAATGCATTTTACCTATCGAAACATTAGATTTTTAAGCCTTCAAAATATTTGCTTCTTCTTCTTGAATAGTAGGTTTCTACACCAGTGAATTCTAATCACTTATTTATGTTATATCACTGGAATGCGACATTAAGAGAAATTTAATTATTATATTTTAATTTAATTATTGAAAAAAATTGTTTACAGAAATTAAATCAAAGTGTATCTCAATCAGATTAATAAATATTAACCAGTTTACTATTTTCATAAGTAATTTATTGAATTACATTACCTTGGCTATTTTTTACACTTCTCATCTACAAGAAAATGCTTATTCCTTTTTAAAATTACTAAATATATTCATTATTATTTAATCCGCTATTTTGCTCTTCAAAATAAAATTTATTTTTTTTATAAGGTCTCCTAATTACTTATCTTTATATAAAAGATTTTTACATATAAATCATGCATTTCCAATATTTTATTGCAAGAAATGATCTGGTAAACCAAAAAATAAAAAATTTCCAAATTCTCATTGTAGATTTAAAAATTTCTTTATTAAACAATTAACCAATGTTAAAATCTATTCTAATTTATTTTTATGTCATTTCTAGTCAGAATATTTATTTTGAATATCAATAGACTCTTAAATGAAATAATTTAATTTTTTAAATCAAATAAAATAAGCAAGCAAATTTATTAATTTTTATCTTCACAGCATTTCCAAATAGGAATCTAATTATTTTTCTGTTTTTCATATAATTTTGGTTATAACCTTATCTTTTGAATTTTCCGTCATTTTAAAAATATAATAATTGACTAAATTATAATGAGGTTATAATCCTATCATTTTTTGTAAGTTATGTATAGATAGGTATATCCTCTCATAATATAGTTACTTGATTAGGCATTGAATAAAAATGTACACAAAGTCTTTTTTCTGGAAAATATCTTTTAACAGATTATATTCATAAAAATCATCATTTCTTATTATTATTTTATCTTTTGTAAAGTTTTATCATGATACTAGATATTATTTTAGTATAAAAGAGAAGATTTAGAATTCATCAAGATTGAAATTTAGAATCATATTAAAAACTTAAATAAAATCAAGTACTTAAATTTTAAATTGACAAAAAGAAAGATTTTTGAAAGATATTTCATTAGGTATGGAAAAAAGGTATTTTTATAAGATTAGTAAATTAAAAAAAATAAGTAAAATGGTAAACTTGATCTATAGAAATATTATTTTATTTTAAATATTATTCTCAGATCACTATTAGTTAAGATTTCTTCTTTTATTAAATTATTAAATTGGGTTCTCTTATAATAAGTCTAATTCTTTTTTGCTTGAAAAACCATTTAATTAAGGTTATCTTAGATAACCTATATTCAAAAATGGAGTAGTAGATATCTACTGGGGAAATGCTTATGTTTATTAGGGAGGAGGAATCTATTCATCATTTTATTGCATATATTATTCATTATTCCAAAATGGGGATTGTAACATAGAAGGTAACAAAAAAGGAGATGTAGAACTCACTTTATAAATATTATTTAATTTTGGTATTTGTAAAGAAGAATTTTAATGGCATTCTCCTTCTTCAACCATACCTGGAGATAATTATTTTAAGAATTAGTTCTCCAAGAACTGATATCCTGGTGATGTTAAACATTATAGCATCATTAAAGGTGTTGCATTTTTTATATCCTCTTAAAGGAAATTTGACTGTAAATTCAGTGCTATTTTCATTTCTTCATTATTAAAGTTCATTTGTTATTGTAATTATTACAATTATATCTACTAATTTTATTATTATTGAAATTGTTATAATTATAATTATTGTTATTGTTATTATTATTATTGTTATTATTATAATAATAATAATTATTATTATTATTATTGTTATTGTTATTGTTATTATTATTATTATTTAATTATCGGTTGAACTGGTTAAATAAATGATTGGTGCGATATTTATTCTTCCTATTTTATAATCTTAGGAAGATTTCTTAATTTTCTTGATTCAAGACTTTAATCTTTATTTCTTATGCCTTTTTTATGTCTGCCTCTTTTACCTACAATTCCTTATTTATTAGAATCTACATGAGCTTAACTAGAATTAATTATTTTATTTAAATTACTTTTTTCTTATGTATTGTTTAACCATGTCAATTTCATCGCATTCATCATCTTTGCATATTTTGTGAATTAATGATTTATAACTTGATATGGTAAAAATTAATACCGATTTTTTACTTAATTTTCTGTTCTTCCATTTAACTATTATGAAATTTAAGACCATTTCTTTCCATTTTTGACTACATTATTAAGAATAATCAAATCTTCTTTGAGCATCCATTAATCTCTCGGAAAATAAAATAATAATTCTACTTATTCAATTCTGGATTAAGATAATTCATCCATCTTTCTCGTATTTATTTAGGAGTGCGAATATTGCCTTATAGATTTTTTTCATATAATGAGACAGCTATTTAGGTCCATATATGTTTATGTTTTTAGCTAATCTTAAATATATTCGACTACTTCATTTAAGTTTTAATGAATTCATCTTCTTCTGAAAGCCAGTTGATTGATTTCATCTATGGATTTATTAATGTTATCCATCGTTACTTCAATGAATGTCTGTCAATTTTAAGAATGTTTTCAAAATTTACCCAGTCATTCTCATCCTATGATGAATTTCTCATGATACCGGATGAATAGTAAGATGGCTTTATTTCTCAAAATATTTAACTAGAAACCAAATCAAAAACAATTTAAAAGAATTGTCCCATTTTCTTTTGCACCGTAATTTTTCATCTTCTAAAAAACTATAAATAAGTTTTATATTAAACCTCTTACAAATTTGTTCAAACTTTTTATTCGATGGATATATGAATTCTCCTCTTATTTTAAATTATTTTCTATACTCATCAGAAATAGGAGTATTTTATTTATCTCCCAAACTAATTATGAATGTTTAGAATTCGTTCATTCAATTATTTTAATATAAATTATTAATACTTGATATTATAATTAATTTTATGTATGAATTACATAGTGATGAGTAGGATCAAGATGATGATAATATTAGAAATAATCAATATGAAGTAAATTTAATAGAAGATGATTGTGAAGATAAAAGCTAAATTTCATCAATTTTGTAGAATATTATTAAGTAGCCATAAAAAAATTTGTTTGAACTAAATATTTCTGAAAATTAAGTAGATAAATAAAGTTAATAAGATAATTCACTTTCATAATTTATAGATTAGATGTTAGCTTCTATTTCTAACAATTAAGAAATTCTTAATAATAATGTTTGTTTAGTAGAAGATGATGATACGATTGCAGATACAATTGAAGAATTTGAATTTAGAGATTATCAAATGGAATTATATGAAAAAGGAATTGGTAAGAATTCAATTATTTATTTGGAAACGGGATTAGGTAAGACTTTAGTTATAATTATGTTGATGTGGAATAGATTACTTAAATATCCTAAAAAAAAGATTTTATTTTTAGCAAATACTATTTAATTAGTTGAATAATAAGCATAATAAATTAGATAAAAATTACCTAGGGTTGCTGAATTATTAAGTGATGATGAATTAGTCATTGAAAAAGCTAAAGAATTCAGATCAAAGTTGAATGTGATGCATGGAAGTAAATGTACAGATATTTGGAATTCATTAATGTGGCAAATCATGTTAGAGGAAAGTAGTATTCTAGTTATGACTACTTAAATTTTTTTAAATATTTTAAGAAAAGGATATACAAAGATCTCTAATTTTAGTTTTATTGCTATGGATGAATGTCATAATGCCGTATAAGATCATCCTTACAATTATATTCTAAATGAATTTTATTTTAAGACTAAGTTATAAAATAAAAATTAATTTTTACCTTAAATTGTTGGAGCTACTGCTTCTCCTGTTATGAATAGTAGATCAGTGGAAAATAATTAACTATTATAATAATTATTATAGTTAGCTGCAAACATGGATGCATAATATTTACATATTGATAGGGTAGGAATAATAAAACATATCAAAGAAGCATAAATTATCCTAGTCTATTATAAAATGCTTTTTAATGATTCTGATATACAAAAAGTTATTGATTTAAGAGCATCTCTTACAAATTGTGAAAATAATGAAAACAAAGCTCTTGAAACTATGAAAAGAAACTCCTACCTAATAGAATTTTTTTAATTGAGATAAATATTGCAAAATCTTAAAAAAAAATATTCAAATGATTTACAAACTAAAATTTTAATAAGCTAAATTGAAAGACAACTCTTAATCAATGGATTTTAAATGTATCTAGAACTAGGATAATATTTATTTGGTAATTAATTCTTATATTTGTAAAGTGTTACTACTAGATTATATAATAATCAAATTGGATGATTTTTTGACAATCAAAAGACGATCAAATCAAAATGCTTGCTTAGAAATCTTAGGAATATTGCAGAAACTACTAAAAGAGGTTCAAGTTAAATATTAAAATCTTTTATAATCTTCCACTTCAAAAGTTCAGGTTTTGTTTGAGATTATCAAAAAAGCCTATTAAAAAGGCAATGAAAATAATATGATTTTGATTTTTGTTAAACAAAGACTTACCGCCTTTTTTTTAAATAAACTTTTATAAGAATATTTGGCTCAAGAAAGATTAGGTAATTTATTTTTTATAAATTAATAGACATTAAATCAAATTTTATAATAGGACATTGTACTTCGATTGTTAGAAAAAACACTAATTCTTAAGTAATCAATGTTATTGAATCAAACAAAGAAGATTAAGAAGCATTGATTTAACAGTTATATATAGAATTATAGCATGATTAAAGTAAATTTTCTATTGAAGAATTAAAAGACCAAGTTAATAGATTAAATATATTTGCTTATAAAATTAGTCCTTCAGTCTAGATTGATATTTTAAAATAATTTAGATTTGGTAAAATAAAAATTCTAATTTCCACATCTGTTGCAGAAGAAGGTATAGATATTCCAATGTGCAATTATGTAATTGGATTCAATCCGATAGCTAGTTCAAAGGCATATGTATAAATGAAAGGAAGAGCAAGAAAAGAAAATTCTTAGTTTATGATATTTATGGTAGATAAAGATTAAAAAGCTAAAGTGTAAAGCCATCATTAGGTTTAAAATAATATCAAATAAATTATTGAAGAATTAACAGCTCCTTAAAGATAACAGATGTTGTCTAAGGCTGTTCAAACTTTATGTATTTATTAATTGCTTAATTTAGAAAGTAAAACTTTTGAGAACACATTTTATGATTCATTTGAAATTGATTACACTGGTGCTTTAATAAATACACATTGGTCTTGTTAATTAATTTAATAATTATGCTAAAAGTTTAATTCCAAATAAGCAGAAAGAGTTGTTCCAAAATATGTAATTTATTAATTGTAAAGTAATTCAAAAATGAATGAACAATTTATTTCATTCTTACTTCTCCCCATCTCTTTAAAAAGTTTTATTTTTTATGGAAAACTTGCTCCCACTTTAAAAGATGCAAAATAATCTGCTGCATTTGAAGCTTCTTTGTAATTATATTCAAAAGGATATCTTGATGATAATTTATAAATCAGTTTTGATAATGATTTGGGTTAACATATTGGAGCTGATTAAGATGATTCTTAAATTATGATGGTAACTATCCTAAAAATTTTAATAGACTAGGGAATAATGGCAAATAGCTTGTAAATATTCTCAAAGGCTTTTTCATAGTTAATCTACTATGGGTGGCAAGATTAATTCTTAAAAAAAATATTATGATAATTTATTTAAGACTATTTTTCAAGGAAAAGATGAATTATCTGATGAATTCATATTGTATCAATGTCTTTTCAATAATGAGAATATAATAATAGCTTTTCCAAAATAAATGCTACAATTAATCAATACTAGTTAGAACACATTTGTTGCTCTTGGATTTTAATTTTTATATCTATCATAGATTTCAAAAAGTCAATATATTAATTTTTATAAATAATATATAGAAATGATCATAAGAGAAGAAAAATTAAAATTAATTAGAGATGATATATATTAGATTTTTAATAAATGTAATACTGTAGGTTATATATTTTAGAATTTCAAATATTGATAAAAAATGAATCCGAAAAGAATCTATTAATAATATTAAAGGTTTAAAGCAATAGTAATTTACTATTAAATTAAATTATAAGCTAGTTTACTTTGAGATTCAAGGTTTATTTTTTAAAAGAGAAAATAAATGATTAGTTGGTTTAGGGATTCTTTTAACATCCTTTAAAAATAAATCAACAAATAAATGAAGTTTTAAATTCTATCAATAAATATTAAAAGAATCTCACATCTCTCAAGTTTAATTTTCAAGATAATTTAGAAGAATAAAATTTGAATTTCATACATTATAGCGTATCTGATAATAATGAGCCCATAAATATAAAAGAGAAATTGGATGAAATATTATTTCAGTCTTTAGATTTACAATCTCACAATCATAATAATTTATTGTTAGGCCTTCAATATTACAAATTTCTAATATCAGTTCTATTATATGCAAATTATTTTCATAATGATATTAGGATTACCAAAACTAAATTAAAGAAATTTACAAGAAGCACATATGTAAGAAACTGTTTATTTGAAAATCATCTATTTTTATATTTACATAAAAATGACTTAGATGATATTACAAAAACATATATTGGACTTGAGAGGTATCAAGATAACTTTGATTTAATTATTGAATAATCAATTTTGGATAATCTTTCAGTTACTAAAAAAAGATAATTTAAAAATATAATTTAAAATAGAATTCATTTTTCAAATTAAGAATTTTTCTAATTTATACAATAATCATTATTTGTGCTTTAAGAAGGGGATGATTATCTTGAAAATGGTCTAAATTGGCTTAGAATATTTAGAATCATTAATCCAATGAAAATTCATTTAAATTCATCCAAAAGCTTATATGAATTTCTACCTTAAGTTGTTCCTTTAAATGATCAAATTAGATAGGTCAAAAAAGTATTTGCTCTATTTGAATATTAAATAAAATATTAATTTAAGCACTTTGAACTTTTATTTTAAGCTATGACTGATATTTCATTTAAATTTGTTATTAATAATAAAGTAAAATACAAGTATTATGAATAATTTTAATAATAAGAAGAATTTTAGGGATTAATAACAGAATAATAATGGAATGAATTTAAATTGTAATTTGAAAGTATGAATTAAACAGACTCAAATAATTACGAAAACTCATTATTAGCTATGTTAGGTAAATCTTTATGGAATTATTTAATAATAAAACTATTAAATGAAAACAAATTAAGTAAATATATATGTTAAAATACTAGATTGTTTGGTTTTAAGAATTTTAGGTAAAATTTTATAGAAAACTCCCTTTATTGGATATTTAGCAATTCACCTAAAAGTGCAAGATTATTTTAATAGTAGTTATCAATCTGCACTTTTTGATTTAGCAGATGAAATTGAAAAATGCAAAGATTAATCAATAGCATTCATAATGAGTAAAATAAGAATAACTTAAGCCACTCAAAGTTTGGAAAATGCTTTCCTTGCTCTTGTAGGTGCTATTTATATTGATTCAGATTTTAATTTAAATATTGTAACATTATGGATAAAAATAATACTAGAGGAAGTAAAAGTTTAATAATTATATTCGCAAGATTTTATTAATAGATAACCTAAATATCGATTTTATTAATGGTATAATTTCATTTAAAAAATAGGTATTAAGATAAGATAGGTAATCCATTCAATTTTAATCTAATTAAAATTCCACATTAAGATTACAAAAAAATTTCGTATGGAGAGAGTTTGTTCATTCCTTATGATATGTTAGAAGCATAGATAGTAAATGTAAAAAGAGATAAATATTATGAAATATCGTAACTGCACATTTATGCTAAGAGGAAAAGTTAAGCATGGGAAAAATTGTATGAAATTATTGATTATTGAATTAAAATTAAATGAAGTGATATTATTTGGAAACTTGAATTCTATTTTCAACAATTCTTAAAGAGTGTATTTTATTTTATCATATGAAAATGATGAATGCATATTTTTACATCAATACCTCTAAGTGGATTAATACACATTTATATGAATAAATTATAAAAAAAAATGATTAAATATAAATTATATAAAGAATCAAATTAAATATAATGAATTATTAAATAATGCTCAATGAGGACATACATTTAGAAACTAAAAGAGTCAAAGAAATATTTTAAATCTTCTTTAATGAACACTGCGAATATTTTTAAAATGAACTAAAAAAAACTTAAACTCTATCATTGGAATGAGATAATTTAAACTAATTAAAAAGTTCTTTTTTGAGTAAAATTGAACTTAATAATATCAATATTTCACTTTTACTAAAATTGATAAATATCAATCTCTTACTAGTGATTAAATTAATTAATAACTAAAATAATCAGCAATATCATTTACTTTAATGAAATTTCAGAAAAAAGTTTAAATTCTTCATAGACTTAAAAACTATGTGTACAATCGATTTTAAGAATGATAAATTTAATTCCTTATGATAAAAAAATATTGTAAGGCAAATATTCTATAAAAATGTTTTAACATTATTATTATAAAATTTAACATTATGAGTTTTTTCAAGAACATTCATTTTAAACTGATTTTAAAAGTCTTGATAAGTATCAATAAATTAAATAATAATAATGATTAAAAGACCTCCAGTACCAAAATTTAATGATGAATGCTCTACTCCAAAAAGATCTTCTGATTTATTAGAGGAAGTCTAACATTTAGTATATAAAATGAATTTGGATGATGAAGTAGAAAAAAAAGCAATTACAATACTAAATAGATTAACTCTACCAAATACTTCATTACATGCTTAGGCATTAGTTCATTGTGCTATAAAAGAACTAAATTAACCATTACCTAAAGCAGATGCAAAAGTAGAATACCTTTCCAAATGTATTTAAAATTAATATTCCTCCTTGATTTCTACTTTATGCAATAAACTCAAATTAAATTCTAAATCTACTTAAGTTTGCTACATTCTCTATTAATAAATGTAGCCTCTCATAAATAAATTACCAAAGTAACTTCAAAATGCTATTTCAGTAAAAATTGCCACTGACATAATATTTTTGAAATAAGGAGGAATAAATTCTAAAGTTATTGCTTAAATGGCTAATATTAAGGTGGAATAATTGTTAATCAATCTAAACAGAATCAAACCATTTGCTTTCAAAATTATATAAGACCTATTCAATCATTTTAATAACAACTCTTAATGACTTTTATTTTTGTATGTTTATATATATTACTCTATTTATTTGATAAATTTTGAATTTTAATTTTACTTAAGCTTTCCTAAGAGAATAATTTAATTCTATTTTTTTTCATTAAATAAGGTGGTGCTTCATGAATTACGATTAAACTCAATCGTTTATATAAATTAATTAAATTAAAATTTTAATAATTTATAATTTTTACTAATTAATAAATTAATTATTATTAAATTAGAAATGCTATTTCAATCATAAAGTTTGAAAAAATGATTAATCAAATTTTTAGAGTGTTCTAATACTATTCAAAATATTTGTGTATAATCATGTTTTTAAGTAGTAGAATATTTCAATTTAATCAAAATTCAGCAATAAGATTAAAAATTGTAAAATAAATTTTTTGATGAAAATTAAAGACCATAGTACAAGTTGCAAATTAATTATAAAAAAATATAATAATAATTATATTAAAAGATATAAATGAACATTTATCAATATTACTTTGAAATTTGTTTTCATTAATAATATCCATAGTGATATTATTAATATGGTATTTACTATTATATTTAATTGTAATTATTGTAATTCAAGTATTGTTAATTTTATTGTTGGTAATTGATGTAATAATTTGAATAAATATTATTATGAAAATACTGATTGGATGATGTTGGATTAGTATAAAAATGTTATTATTGAGGAATGGAGAATTATAAATTTTATTTAATAGATGTTTAAAGCATCTATTGTTAGACTTATTCAAATTAATACTGTTTTTCTTCTTATTAAATATCTATTATAATAACAACAAAAAAAATACTTGTCGCAGTAATACCATTTTCTTGAGGAAGTGGATCAACGGAGATTTTCTTTTGAATTTATGATTCAGTAAGTTTTGGAGATTCTACATTTTTTGATGTTTCTTTTCTAGTTAAGAAGTCTGACATGAATTATGTAACTGTCAAACTTAATTTCTGATTAGGATTTTGAATGATTGCTTGTATTAGCAATCTTTCTTCACTTTCTTAGACCTACTAATTAGATACAATGATTACATTAAATCTTTTTAAATTTCTAATAATTCCATTGTATTAATTTTTAATTTAATTTTCACTTCTTCCTCTTAATTCACATTATATTTTAGACCATTTTTTACCATAATTCAAAATCAATGAAAGCAACTGAATTTTTTCTTCTTAACTCCAAGTTGACCTAGAAATTTCAGGGTTCAGCACATTGTTCCATCTTTCTCTAATTTGTTTTGGATACCTCTATGTTGAAGATAGTGAATTAAATTTAATCGTTAATTCAGTCCAATTGCTTTTATAATAATGATCACTTTATTATTAAATAAAAAAGGATACTTTGCAATACTTATTAGAATTTAATCTTCTTCCTTTGACCAAGGAGAGATTTTTAAATTAGAATGAAGAAGAGATATCCATTTTAATTCCACCAAATTCTTTTCTACACATAGAACTTTTGATACGTATTCCCAATCATTATCATTCTTAATTAATATTTATAACTATTACAGGAATTAGTTCCAATCTATTTTATGACATTAAATGCTTCGTCATACACCATATAAGTAAATTTTTATCTTATTAATGCCATTTTTTTCTATTTACATCACTTGTAGATCTAAATATAGTATAAATTATATATTACTTAGAAAATACTTCTTCATAGTACTCTGTCATTTATTAGTCTGTTGGAAAGTGATTAACACGAACTTTAACAAATTGAGTTACTGTTTCTACATCAATTGGGTCTAAGTTTTTAATCTTTTCTAAGAAATCAATCCACTCTTTTGGAAGATGGGGCTATGTTTAAATCATAAATTAAATATAATCAAGATTTGTTTAGATTAATTGGTTTATAAAATATTGGTCAAAGTCCAATAAGATAATTTAAATCATATTAATTGATTGTATATATATGTATTAACAATGTTCTATTTTTATCTTAATTATCAACTTTGTATTTTTTTAAGGTTAAGATTTTTCTAATTTGTCGAGTATCCTAAATATTTGATTGTTAGTATATTCATAATACCTTGAAAATGAAAACATAATGTTAATAATCTTTTAGTAAGGATAACAAATTTAAAAAGTTGTAATTTTTTACATTTAAGAATCTTAACACTGAATTCGATCAATAGACAACTTATATGACATTCTGTCTACCTTCTAATAAAAAAGTATTGTAGAAGCACCTGTAAACATATTTCTATTCTCCTGATTGTTTTCTATCCATTTCACACAATACTTCTCTCAAAGCGTATTAGTTGCTATCTCTGTTCACCAGAAACTATCATTGAGTCTTTTCCGAAGGCTTGTAATTAAACTTTTGAATTCGTAGAAAGTTTATTAATTTTAAGACTTTTTTCTCTATTAGTCGACGACTTGGTACTAAAGAAAAAGAAATTGCTTATGTTTTACAACTGCAAACTTACCTTTAAATAATTTTAGATGATTTACAAAAGCTTCAAACAAGAAATCTATTTATAGTACATTAGATTCTTTGAATAATAGTAGCATTTGGAATAAGTCCTTTCTAATTAAATTGATGAAATCTGTCTTCCCAATTATGGATGGATATTTAATAGAAATAAGAAGATTGAGTAAGGTTGTAAAATTTTCAATGCAAAATGAAAATAAAAGAAAAAGTTTATATAATTCGATTAAAAAAAAAATGATTTAATTAATGTCACTTGTAAGATTGTTATTTAATTCGAATTTAAAATATATTAGAAAATTATACATTGGGAGATCATTTACAGAATTACATTTATTAATTGGGTTATTTTATAATAAAAATGAAAAATATTAAAAAATTAAAATCATAGTTGATATTTATATTTAGAATTTCTATGTTGATCATTTCCAGAAGGACGTTATTTGGAGAAGAATAATTATTTTTCTGCTTTTTATTATTATTAATTTTAAACTTAAGTAGAAGTTTGTGGTTAATTTTATTTTGTCTTTTTTGGAAGAGTACTAATGTTTCTTTCAGGACTTTATACAAATTACTCTAAGGATTACTCATTAAAACAAATTTCAATTTCACTGTTTTTCAAGGTTTATTGTGGTTGATTACCTTAATCTTGAGAAAATAATTTATTTTTAATTTCATCATTATATGCTTATAAATCTTATCCTAAAGCTTCTTGGATGGTAAGCTTGATTTTATGTAAATCTTATTAATTAGTTTATTGTTTGGATTGATTGTCAATATTATTTTATTCATTTATTTGATCATTTTAAATAATAATTTTTTAGCTTTAAAATTATTGTTATTATTCTTAATGATTGATTTCTTCAATTTTTTCTGCATTAGCAATTTATTTTTTAATATTTTATTATGAATCTAACATCAAAATATCACCTAGTTAAATAAATAAATTTACTTTAAGAGCTATTATTATGAATGTTCTTTTTAAGAATATTATCTGATTAAATTTCAAGTTAAGCATCATCAAAAGGTTTAATAGTGATATCATTATCATTCATCATATTCTATTTTAGATATAATTTAATAAACTTTTTTCCATTCTTCTTCATCTGCAATATCATCAATATCAATAGGTTTAGTAGTTTTTCTTTTTTTTTTTGGTTCTACTTTTGCTTAAATTTGAAGTTATTTATTGAGTCTTGTAATTTCTTTTTCAATCAATAAAAACTTCCTTTCAAGTTCTTCCTTATAAGATGTTAATTCTTCCACCTCTCAAAATAATTAACATTTGTGATACCTCTTGATCTTTAATAATATAGATAGGTTTTCTTTTATTTTTAACATCTCTTAAATCTGCTATCTATTTTGCTAACTAATCATTTATTTATCCTAACTCTTCTAATTTTAATTTCTATGCTCATTAATATAATTTACATAACTCTTTAATTTTTCATGCTACTGTTTAGAAGCTCCACATCCCATTTCTTAAATTAAATTAATATCATATTAAATGAGAAATTATAAATATAATTTATGTAGATCATTCTTAAATATCTTCATTATTGTACTTTTTATGTATACTACTAACAGCTGTAGACATTCTCCTTATAATTCTTTCATTTCCCTTATTAATCTTATTAAATGCTTCTTAAGTTCTATTTACAGCTTATGTGAATGATTCAAATTAAGTTTACAATCTTATTTTAATAGGACTGCTCTATTCAGAATCAAATATACTTTTTGTTTTTATAAGAATTCTTTAAGTTTAAGACCCTTTCTTCCCTTTCTAATTTATATTGATAACCTTTTATCTTGGAGATGTTGAAGAATTACTCTAAGAATGATTTAATTTTGCAGTTTATCTACAACTATTTTAACTATTTTGACTCTTATGAATAATAGCATCTTTTAATATCTCTTTCTTTGTAGAATATAATTCACTCTCAATTATATGACTTTTTATACTTCTTCTTCTAGATTCTAATGCAACATCTTTTACTAATGATTAACATTATTTTTAAAAATTTTAATAGTATTGTTGAATTGGAATTTTTCGTAATGGAGTTCTCTTTTAATTCTTTTACTCTTATTTATCTATAAGTCCTTGAGATTAAAGAAACTATCTAGCCTTTTGAGTTTCCTCTTCAAATTATTGTATTTACTATTTTCTTTAAGGTGAAGGACTTGTTTTAAATATTGAACGATAGAATAAATTTGAATCATTTTTTGGAGATGCATCAAAGTTTAATAATTCTTCCCCTTTTATTATAGGATCAATCTCTTTAGGTGATTCTGGTTATGATCTTTTTGGCATTTTCAGTTCCTTTCTTTACATTGGCTCATAATTCTAAGATGCTAAAAATTATAATTTGAATTCTTCATCCAAAATCAATGGCTAAGTATTTTAAGATACCAATTCTTATTTTGCCATCTAACTTTTATTTACATTATTCTTAGTACTCTCTTAGTATTATTATGTTTTTTGTATTACTTAAAGTTTTAATAATAGATTTCTATCATTTAATAAATTTAATTTATTTATTGATGGTCTTGCATCTACAAATGTACTCAATTATCTCATCTCTTCTAATTTCTTATTGAATTACTCTTCTCTTCTAGAATCTTTATTTGAAAACCTTATTTAATTTATTATATTCAATAATACTTCAATTTTAATTTTGCTTTATTCATTAATGATTCTGCTAATTTCTGTATTCTTTCTTTCTTCTCCTACTCTTCGTCAATTTATCTTAAGTAAGATTTTATTTTATCATCTTAAATAGAATCTGCATAAAACATTTATTTTTTAATAATTCATTTATTTTATCAATCATATACATTTACAAATAATATATCATTCACATTATTATACATTTATACAATTATTCAATAGTTTAAAATGTTCCTAACAATTTATAGAAATCATCCAAAAAAGACTCTATTATTCTTAATCATTCTCTTTGGAGGAATTACCTATAAATTTAGATCACATTTATTCAATCTTTTCATATAAAAAATGCAAAGCAAATTAACTTAAGAAATACAATTATAAATGGAAAAAGGTCAAAGAATCAATACAAAACTTGATTAAATATAATTGATTGTTGATCAATTCTATTAGAATAAGTCATTCTTAAATTTTATTTCTGAAATCTTAAAATAAGAATAAATCACTAATATTGGAAATTAATTGAAATAAAATAAAGAATTAAATTAGGAATAAAAAGAACTCATGTATCAAAACATGTCAGAATTATTCTTAATCTATGAAGTATCAACAATTATTCTTTTGAGAAAATCTGAATGTCTACTTTTATTATCTAAAATTGTAATTCTGACAATCACAAATAAATTTTTATAGAAAATCTACTTCAATAAATATTATAAACATATATAACTCAACAATACCTTTAGATTGTTAATATTTTGTAAGAATAATTTAAAAAAGATCCTCTAAAATACAATTACAATCAATAAACCAACCTAAAAGAAATGATTAAAAACTTAGTCCAAATTTGTCAAAATAATTTATGGGAAATAAATATTTATCGCAAATAGAAAAGTTATGTCGAGACGAGTTTAAAAAAAAAATTATCTAATTTTAGCAATACTATTAAGGTTAAAATCTAACTACTATTCAGTAATAATCAAAATAGTTAGTTGAGCATATTTTTAAACTTAATAAATCTTTGGCACTGTTAACTTTTTCTGATTATTCAATATCTTACACTTATTAGAAACTTGATAATAGAATTTAATTAATACCAAATATTAATGATATAAATAATCAAATTCTTATTAAATAGTTATTAAAAAATCATCAGGTTATCAAAGAAATATTTTATGCTCAAGAAAGTATTTAAAACAATAATAACTATTATTAAAGATAATTAAAATAAAGTCTTAAAATTAAAGTTGAAGAATCATCTTAAACTAATTCATAAATAGATAATAATTTAGCAATAATCCAAAAAGTATTCATGAATTTAAGATTTTTGAAATTTTGAAATAATTTTAAAATTAAATTATTAGAAAAATAATATTTGGAATTGAATTAGATGAATCTTTAAATACACAAAAAAAATTTTTGGGATAATTAGCATGATAGAATTTGATTATTCTTATTATAAATAGTATATATATCTTTATCTAATGAATAATAATTCTATGAATTTATCGATTCAAATAATTCACACTACCCATTTATAATATTCTATTCAAGAGAAACAATATTTATAAACAATTAAATATAAAGTTAAAAATTATTGTATAAATACTAACTATTTATTATTAATAAATAAATTTAGAGCGAAAATAACTGAAATTATTATCTCTAATAATCTGTTAAATAAAATGTAAATATAAAATGCAGCAATAATTAAACAAATAGTCTCCTCTTTATTGGCAGCTGTAGCGTCTATGTTGTTGAAAATAGTTTCACAATTAGATTTTAATTAAACCTTATATCTACGAGCTGTTATAGGATTAATCATACTTTCAAGTGCTGCCATCTATTTTAAACTTCAAGTTTATAATTTTGATAAGCAAACTATGAATAATTTAATTAATAGAGGAGCTATAGCTGGATTTGGAGCATTTATGTATTTTAAAGGATTAAGCTTGGTGCTTGTATCTGAATCAATCCTTTTGAATAGGATGTCTCCTATATGGACATCAATTATATGTATTACAGTTTAAAAAAAGGAGTAATTTAATTCAAGATTACTAATAAATATGACACTTTCTGGAATAGGAATATTTTTAATAGCAAAAAATAAAACAAATAATAATGAAAGTCAAATCACTGTAGATACTTATTCTCATTGGGTTGGGATAACATTGATATTATTAGCATCAATAACTTAGGCAATAGTTAATATTTTAGTTAAATCAGTCAACCAAGAAGTAATATTATTTTTATCAATTAGGTTGATAGTATAGTTATTACTTTATATTAGGGATTTTTTGCAACAAATCTGCCTGTGTTTAATTCCCTATTTGAAGAAACTTAGTAATAAAATTAATTATTTTTAGATTTAATTTACCGTCAGTAAATGAATCAATATTAATAACAACTGCTTCTATAATATCTTTATTAGCAGGAGTATTGTAAGTTTAATCTATGAGAGAAGGAAAATTAAGTATAGTTTCAAATGTTAGTCAAATTCAACTATTTTTTGGATACTTAATTGATTTTTTTGTTTTCTCTGTTAAATTCAATTAACAATAAATAATTGGAAACATCATATTATTATCTTCTATAATTCCTTTAATTTGGAAATGATAAAATATTTTTTTGTATGATAAAATTATAGAGTTATTTTAATAATGTGAAATTAGATATTTATTAAAAATAAATTTGGTTTAGTTTGACTTAATAAACTATACCATAAAAATCTAATAATTGATTGAATAATTTTAAATGATTTGTTAACCAATATATTAATACTTAATTATAATTTATTAATAATGTAATTGATTTGATTAAATATTTATCTAAGGTAAATTAGCATTAAACATATAAAATCATAATTTAATTAAACAGAATTTAAAACCAGACAAATAATAAATTTGTGAATTTTGGACCAAAATTATTTACATAAAAGAAATTTGAATTCATTATTTTTAAATTTAATGGGATTAAAATCAATATAATCTATTTCAAATCTGAAATACTTAAGTTGAACTTGTTAATTTACATCATAAGACAGTTGTTTGTGATTTTTAGAAAGATAAGAGGAAATGGAAAACTAATCGCTATGATTGTCTAATTAATATTAACTCTATCATTCTATAAAGAAACTTTATTAAGAATATTGGGAAAAAATTAATTTGTTAATATACTGTACAAAATCTAAATTGACCATAATATTCAACAGCCATCGGCCGAGATATACTTTTTATTTATACTAATTGATGATTGTAATCTGAAAAAAAATGATAATGAATATTCTACAGCAAGTTAATGTGTAGAGTATCTGAAATTAATATAGGAATAAAATTAGATATAAACCTCAATTTATAAGGGTACCCTAACTATTAAGAAGTAAATTAATTAGTCTATTATTTTAGATTAGATTTCAAATATTATACTACTACGTGAAATGTTAAAGAAAGATAATTAAAGATGAATTGATATTACCTTCATATGATAATAATTATTTAATTAGCAAAGAACAAGTATAAAATCAGACTTTTAGAATTACTTATAATATTGAAAACAGGATAGTGATTTGGAAAAGATTAATTTTAATATTTTGTAATACATCTTTTAATAACTAACAAATTTATTCATAATTCATTCAAATCTTCTTTCAAACTAAAAATATTACTTAAATTATAATAAAGTAGAAAAACTATTGTTTTTTTATTACTTAGTTATAAAATATCACAAAATGATAAATATTATTTATTTTTCTTTAAAAATCATTACAAATTTTATAGAATAATATATTTTTAATTTAGAAAAATAAGATTGGGAATAGATTTCATCTTTAATTGAATTTGTTTTAATTAGAATTAAATTGAATTAAAAAAATATATCTATAAATAAATAAATAAATTTTTAAATTTCTTTTAATGGATTAACTTATTGCTTAACTTGGTGAGAAGTAAAAAGGAATAGAATTAGCAGAGGATGTGGAAAATAAGTAAATTTTGAAATGTTTATAATAGCAAAGATATGAGTTAATTTATAGAAGTTATGAAGAAAATAATGAAAGAAAAACATCCTCCTAAAGAATGTGTATATGGTTTAAAAATAGTCAAGGATTGTATTGAAAAGTTTAATAATGATTTTAAGAATAAAGTCAAGAATGAATTGATGGAACTTATTTATGAAGTGGCTATATATAGAATTAAGGATGTAGATGATTCTAGAGGGATCACATATTTCAAAAATCCAGAACATGAAAAATAAATTGAATAATATGGAGCTAGTTATATAAGATTAGCTTTAGATTGCATAAGGGTATGGTCTCTTTGGTTTCCTGATTTCAAAATTTATGGATAGAGATTAGAAAAAGAATAAGGATACTTACCAAAAATAAATTATTTTAAATAAGAATTAATTGACAAACATATTCCTAAATTGTCAACTACACCTTATGAAGATTCTGGTTTAATTTAAAATAAAATCAGACAATTAAATTAGTAATTGATTACTTACTTGCAATCACACACTGAAGTTAATTCTTTCCTTAAAGATGAATTGGAAAAAATAAACATTTAAATTGAAGATTTAGTTGTTTAAGAGGTTTAAGATTAATTTTTAGATGAATTTGTTTTATCATATCCTGAATTTCAAAATGGAAGAATCTCTTATTAAGAATTTAGAATGTAATTTTTAACAAATTAACAAATAAAAAAAAGTTCATAAAATTTTTAAGATGAATCAAATCTAACTTAATCAATTCATTAAACTTCAAAAATTATGAAACCTTAATAGCAATAAAATTAATAAATTTTTTAATAATAGGATTAAAGTTAAATATTCAAAAATGAAGATCATAATAAAGAGATTGAAAATTTGTAACTTTAATTAAAGTCATAAAAATTAGAAAATGAAAAACTTGTTAAAGTGATTTAATCAAATGAAAATAAAATTTAAGAATTATAAAATGAACTTTAGTAATAAAAAGTTTAGACAGAAAATTTAAAAAATAAATTTTAAAATGACTCTTTAAATTATGAACGCTAATTGGAAGGACTTTAATAAAAAATGAATCATTATAAAAATCTATTTGAATCCTCACTATAATAAGTAAATTAAGAATAAAGACAATAGGATAATTAATAATAATAATAATCATTTTAATAATAATAATAATAAGAATAATAAAGTTAAACTATTTAAAATTTATAAGAAGAATTAGAGAATTTGAAGGTGGAAAAAAATCTTCTTATTGAATAATAAAAAATATATCAAGAAAGAGGTAATTCTAATTTTAGTGAATTTGAATATATGAATTTGAAGAAAAAGTACGATAATTTAGACAGCAAATATTTTCTATTAAAACAAGAGAATTATAAATTGAAGTAAACTTGTTAAGAATATGGAAGTTAATCAATAAATTAAAGTAGAATAAATGAGAGTTTTGCTGCTGTAGATCAAAAAGATGTAAATTCAAATATAGTTTTCTATAATTTTAAGGAATCAGATTTATGGTAAACAGTTAATAATACAAATTAAAATTAAACAATGATAAATTCTAGATTGAGAGATGTTTCTGAATTAATTTATCCTCACAAAACTGCAGCAGAATATTATAAGTAGAATGGAAAGAAAGAATTTAAAGGAAATCTTATAAATAGATCTGAATTACAATTATAATTGAATCAAATAAATCTACTTAATTATAAAAAAGCAAGCTTAAATTAAATAGCAGCATTATTCTAATCAAATAAAATTGAAATAAAATCCAGACAATAATTAATTTATGGCTAAAATAAATAAGAATTCATATCTACAACTATAAGCATTAAAAATAAGGAATTGAGATCAATTTAACTTTAAATTATTAACAGTAATAAAAATGTATGGATTAATAAAGACACAAAAAGTACTTTACTATAATCATAACAGTCAATTCTATATGAATTTATACGTGAGGCTAATGTAAAACTTCACGAATAGACATTAATTAAACTTTCTATTAGGTATTTTTAATTATTAAATTAGTTTTGAGAATTTTGTTATTTACCTTCCAAATTTTTTAATGAATTGTATTAAATTTTATTCAATTGAGGCTAGTTCTTTCAAAACAATGAAAAAGTAGTTTTAAGGTAAGATTTATGCAAGTCCATTATTACCAATATGTTGTAAAGCTGAATTAAAATAATTAAGTGAATAAGGACAACTGCTAAACTAATGGGAGTAAGAAAATGAAGATTTAATAACTTAATGTAAATATGGATTTAAAGCGGTATTATCAAATCAATTAGAATTTTATTTGGAATTAATTATGACTCCTTGTGATGAATTTCTTTTTAGAGGATTTACTAGCTTTGATGAAGAAACATTATAGTTTGTTTTAAATGGCTTATCAAATTTATACAGTTGATTTTGAAATTTATGTGATATCAAAAGAAAACAATATATTATTAATCATCAATTAATAATTATTTTAAATTAAATGAGAAATTTAAAAAATCTACTAATGAATTTGATATTTTAATATGCCTAACATGAATTCATTTAAGTTTTTTTAATTTATTAATCTTTTATTGTTATAAATTTCAGTTTCGCAAACTTCTTAAACAGTTTTAGGTTAGATTTTAAGCGACATCTTTCATAGTATTTTATTTGTAATTTTATCTAACAACTTTATTTTTAAAAAATATTATATTATAAATATTCTTGGTCACTCTCAATTAAGAACTTTTCAATTTTAATTAGCAATATATCTTAGTTAGCTCATCGATGTGCAATTAAATATTAGTATAATTCATAAAAAATAAAATGATGTTCCATTTCAACACACAGTTTGTCAATCTGTCATTTAGATAATATATTATTTGATTGTCTAAAAGATAATTTGAAGTCTGATTAATTTAATTATCTATACTAGTAGTCAATCTTAGAGTCTGATCAAATTATTAAACTAATTACAATATCCCCTTTAACAGTTTTAAGTACAAAAAAATATACACATACACCTACACATACAATCTTTTATTAAATTCGTTAAATGTGAGTATATCTTAATATACATTAGCTCACCTTCATTTTAATAAAGTTAATGATTAATTAAATAATAAGATTAATTTATTTTTAGTATTTGGTATATTATAATAGAAATTTTAGAAAATTCTTCAATAATTGAATTATTGATTTATCATTATTTTCTCATTTAATGATGATTATAAATAAACTGATAATACCCATCAAAAATTTAATCAATTTTTGTGAGAAAATTAACAAATAGTCCATAATTAAAATTTAAATATTAAGTAAAACAAACATTTGATATAAAATTAACTAAACTTAGTGATTTATTCATATTTTAAAATATGATATTTTATGCTAAATTTAATTAAAAAGGATTGTATTTTAAACTGTTTATTAAACAGTTATGAAATTTTATTTATTAATTTTAATAATTAAATTTATTTTGATGAAATATTTTTCAAATAAATTGTTTCAATCAGCTACTTATGTATCAAAAAAATAAGACTTTCTTATTTTAAGGTATTATATGTTCTTTTGATAAGAATAACAATCCTTATATAATTTTATTAGAATTTAAAAATAAACTAAACCTAATAAATATAAAACTATTTTTATAAAATTGTTAAATTAATAAATAAAATTTTTGGTTTTATTTATGAAAATAAAATTATAAACTTATATTTTTTCCTATTTTTAACATGATTCATAATATTTCAGAATAAATTTAGCCCAAAATTATTACAATAGATCTAAAAGACAATTTTTAAATTTATCATAGAAAATTAAATTAAATTGTGAATAATTTTAACATAATGTCTGAATTATAGTAAGGGGAAATAATTGCAAATTTGTATAAAGTACTAAAACTACTGTCTTAAGGTTCTTTTGGGAAGGTATATTTAGGAAAGAATTTGAAATCAGGAGAAAATGTGGCAATAAAAGTTGAAAAATAGTAAATGTAGAGATTTTACAGTTTAAATAGAGAGGTTTTATATTGGAAATAATTTAGATAGATATATTAACTAAACTATAAGGAATTTAAGGTGTGCCTAAATTAATTTGGTTTGGGGAAAGGAAAGGATTATAAATAATGATCACTAATATGTTGGGATTTGATTTAAAGTACTTTTAAAAAAAACATAAAAAATTTTCAATTGATTGTGTTTTCAATTTAGCATAATAAATGATAGAAATTTTAGAAAGAATACATAAATAGTAAAGTTTGTATTTTTAAAATATTAGGAATATAATTCATAGAGATTTAAAGCCCGAAAATATTTTAGGAAAAGTCAATAGTCGAAGAATACATTTAATTGATTTTGGGATAGCCAAAGATTTAACAAAAAAATAAAAACAAACTAATTAATAATAAATTCCATTTATTGGAACAAGTAGATATGCAAGCATAGCTGCTCATTTAGGAGAAGAATAAGATAGAAAAGATGATTTGGAAGCTTTAGGATATGTGCTTATTTATTTGATTAAATAATAATTGCCATGGATGAGATGTGAAACCTTTTAAGATGAACGCTTAATAAAAATAGGATAAATGAAAAAAAACACTCCTTTAGATAAAATTTGTGAAGGATGTCCATGTTAAATTTTAAAGTAAAAAAATAATTTAATGAAAGTTATATGAAACAAATTCGAAATCTGAATTCACAATAAATTCCAAATTATAGAAATCTAAAAGTTCTTTTTGAAAAGAGTCCTTTACACATTTAATGGATAATATTTGATTGGTATAAATGCAGAATGAAAAATTATAATACTAAATAAGAATTGAAAGTAGATCAGTAAAAAAGAAATAAGTATAATAGTGCTAAATAAATATAATTGTATTTTTTAAATAAGATTTTAGATCTTTAGAAAAAACTCCATTCTAAGCATCACGAATTAATAGATCAACAACAATGAATGGTAATTCTAATCTATCATCATTTTAAAATAGTATGGAATCTGATAGTAAAAATCAAACAATAAAAAGAGATGAAAGTATTTATGTAGATTTTGTGAATTCTGACTCTTGCTTTTTTACAAGAAAAAAAGAAAACTCTGCTTAAAGTCTTAATTTAATTTTTGAAGCTGATGAATTTATGCCATTACGGGATTAACTTTAACTTATGCAATTAGAGAATTAAGATCTTGAAATTAAACATCATTTATTACATTATCAATCTGTCAACTTCAATTTCAAAAATCCAATATAAAGATATCTATAATTGTAAATCAATTGACTTGAACAAATACTTAATATTTACAAAATTATATTAGTATTAAATCTATATTAATCAATGGTATTACAGTATTCTAATCTTTTAATTAAGCTTTTCTTATGAAGAAGATTGATGCAATATCTTAAATTTGATCAAAATTCTCAAATCTCCTTTGAGCACATATATTGTACTATTTATTTTTTATAATATTTTTTTGTATAGGTATCGTCAGTCTCTTTTAATTACTGGAATGATTTAAATTATGATCGAATTTGGCAATAAAAGGTTTATTTTTAAAGATTAAATAAATATCAAACATAGAATTGAGTTTGTTGAAAAAATAGAATTATAAATCAGATATTGTTTGAGATGTTTTAAGTTATTGTTAAAGCGTGATATTTAATTAAAAATATTTAGTACAACACTTAAAAATATAAAATATTAACTTTTCAAAACTAATTATAGATGGGATGTGTAGCTCATAAACAAAAGAAAGATTTTAAATTTTCTACAATTCCTATTTAAGAATAACGATAGGACGACCTAGACGAATGGACAAAAATCATTTAATAGTAACAAGGCAAGAATATGAATCATTCAGGAAAAGCAATAATGACTAAAAGCAAAACTCTATCAGCTAGATATCATCAACCTTTAGAATAAATTGATGAAGAAGAAGTGTGAGTAGTTCTGATTTTTTATGTTTTCTCAAATTCCTTAATTTCTAACAATAACCTGAATAAAATATAGTCTTCTTTAGAAGAATTATATCAAAAAATGTTACATCATTATCTGATGACATAATTGGAATTGTTTTTAAGATTTTTTCGTTATTTTTATTAAATCATAAAGTTTATATATTTATATAAATTTGAGGGTACCACATCTGCCCATATATTAAGTGTTTTAATTATATTCATAAGATAAAAAAAACTAAGTAAATAAGAATATTTCTTATTGAACATAATATCCAGTTCAATTCAAAATGTTTTTCAACATAAATGATTAAATGTTTAAACTATTTTCTTCGTCATAATTTATACTAATCATATAGGATTACTAAATATAAACATATGACATTGAATTTTAAGTGGAAATATTTATTTATTTGAAATTCGAAGAAGAAAAGCTTTAAAAATGAATTATAGTTATTGTTTTTAGTATGAAGAGTTTATAAAGTAGTTCTAATTTTATAGTGAATTTTGAAATATAATTTAATATATTTTATTTATTGATTCATATATTTACTAAGGTATGTTTTAAATGAATATAAAATGAATTTTATTCTGCTAATATATTATAATTATCAACATAACAAATTTCAAAATTGGATTGTTAAAATTTTTAATGATTACTAAATTTATATGGTTCCATCGATCTATATTTTAAGATCATATCATAATTTTATATATAATATATATAAATATAACATATATATCTTTTAGGAAAAATGGATGTAGAATATGTTGAAGTAAAGCAGGAATTCCTAGAAGATAGTATCATATACTCAATTTCCAGAGTTTTAGATGAAATAGTTAGAGAGACTGACATTATTGAGAGTCCCTAACAAACTGTATTTCATACAAATAAAAAACCTTCAATAAGTCTTGCAAAATATTTAGAGCGTATTCAAATGTACTCATATTGCAGTAATGAATGTTTCATCTTGGCATTAATTTATATAGATAGAATCTAGAAAAAGAACCAAGATGTAGTTATCAATAGTTTTTGTGTTCATAGGTATTAAAGACTTCTATCTTAGATTTCTATTTTCATGTATTATTCTAAGTATTAAATATAATGATGATGATTACTATAAGAATGATTACTATGCCAAAGTGGGAGGAATCACAATCACCGAGTTAAACAAATTAGAATAAGAACTGCTAACTTTGCTCGATTATGAGCTTTATGTTAGTTAAAAATAATATTACTATTACAAGGATAAATTGATGAAATATGCCAAACTATGATTATATTAATAATATAATGGAAATGACAAAGAGATAGGAAAATAAATTTCAATTATGCATTTGAACAATTTTATTTCCTTGTGTTTTCATGATGCATATATTCATCTTGTAACCATGAACTTCTAGTGCGACAATTCACTAAAAGTGAGTTACCTTCTTATTTTCTAAAGAAACTTGATTACTCGTTAAACAAAATTTTGAAAAAGATTTCTATTTGCATGTTAAAAAAATATTCATTCTATACATTCTATACAACTTTTCTTAATCCTACATTCTATTCTATTTCTCGTATTCTCAACTTCTGTTGGTCTATTTTTAATTTAAAATTTCAACTCTAAATTTAGAAATTTTCTAACTTCATTTAATATTCTCAATAGAAGACTTTATATTTTATGGCAGTTATATTCTAAATTAAAAAATGAATTGTTTTATTAATCAATTAGTTTTACTTATTTATTAATTATTAATTATAATTGTTTTTATTTTCTATTTTCATACAAGCAATCTTCTTACTCTAATGTTAGAATTTTATAACTAATCTCATGTATATTTTACGATATAATATTAAATTTATATTTATTTTATTTAAATAGAAAAGATGCAAAAATTATTATATTTAAAAAACAATTTTAGAACTATTTTTTTTAAGATTTTTTTTTTATTTAGATATTGTCCTCTAAAACTATTTTTATCTAAATCTGAGTAAAATTTAATTGAGGCTAAATTTGACAAATATTTTAATTGAACAAAATTAGTTTCAATAAAACTACTTGATTTCTATAAAACTTGATCTTCTAAAATACGAAAATGTAATTAATTTAAATTGATGAGTTAATACAATCTCTCAATCAAAAATTTTGTTTGAAATGGTTACTTCAAAAATCAGATATTTAGATTTTCTACAATTAACAATTTATGTTATAAAATAAGTATATATTTGGATTAAAGTGTAAATAAATAGATAAAATATTCAGTTTTTAGCAGTAGATGGCCTCTTACTTGATTTATCTAGCTAAACGAATTAGGTAATATTAGCATAATTGCCTGGTCCTGGAACTAATTTATTCTAACAGATTATTACCTCCGTTCTTTTCTGCAGCTCTAACAGCATCATCAATAAAACACTTTCTTTTAGCATTTCCAAATTTACTTTTTGATTAACAAGATTTTGATTAAATTTATTAGTCTCTTTTGCTTGGATTAAATATAAAATCAGTTGAAATTCTCTCAGGCACTTTTTTGATTGATTTACTTCTTTCCTTGTAGTAATTCAGATCATAAGTTCTAGAACTAGGTATTTCAGAAGTTTTTTAGGTTTTACAATAATTTTAACCTATTTAATAACCAATAGTTTTGTTAGGACTTTTATTCTAAGCCCCAGGCTCTTGTATTTAATTATATTTATAATATCCTTGATTTTTAACAACATCTCTTCCCAATCCAAACGTTGTCCCTTTTTGTTTAGAAAAGGAACTAGTTGGATCATAATAAGTTTCTGTATATAATTGATTTTTTGTAAAATCAAATTTTTTTCCATATCCAAATCCAGCAGCTCTATTACAACGAAAATAATTTGGTTCATAGTAGTCTGTTTGACAATGTGTATGTATTCTTTAAAATCTATTTGCTTTTGGAAAACTGAATTAAACTGATGCTTAAATAAGTTAAGACATTATAAAAATATAATAAAATTAGAACAACAAAAATATTCATATTAATTATTTTTTTCTGCATAAATTTGAAACATCATTCGTAAATAATAATGTTTTCTTATTATGATTTTTCTAATTATTGAGTTAAAGAGAAACTATATTCTAGCAGATCTATGATTCTCTTTTATAAATAATTTATTGAATTCTTTAGATAAAGAGAATTAACTTTAATTTTTTTTATTTATTTGACTAATCTAACTAACAAATTATAATCTTTAAATTTCATTCAATTAATAATTTCGATAAAAGTACTTATTTATTCTATAATTGAAATTTTTATTTTCTAACTTTTAAATATTGTTATTTATAAATAGCAATCATTTATTTAGTTTAAATTTATGAAAAATTCTTAACTTCATAAGATTATAAACTCTAAATAATTTATAAAATTGATATATTTCTAAATAGGTATGTTTTCTATATTTCAATATAATAATGGTTTTTTTTTAAAAATGATGTTGCTTTTACATTTTTGTTGTTAAACAAATTTAACTCTTGAATTGTTACGAAAATATAAAAAAAGGGATATAAATATTTTTAGTTAGTATTTATATTAGTTTAAGGATAAGATGTGAGTTAATTCACAAATTATAATAAATAATTATAAATTTATAATGAATAAATGAATGATAAAATAATATTAATCATAAAAGTGATTATAAATATTAATTATAATGGAAAGTGCATTTATATTCGGATGTCTATTTGGAATGGGTATAAAAATGACAGTTAGTCGAGTGATACGTCAACCACTATTATTTAGTAAGCAATAAATACAATAATATGATAGAATGTCATTAATATCCAAAGTATATGCTATATACAGGATTAGCATTTTCAGGATTTGATTGGATTCGTCGTCTGTCTTTGGAAACATTATGTGAGAAAGAGGAATTATCAGAATTTTTGGTTAGAAGAGCTCGAATCAACTAACTTGCTACAGGTGCAGAATCAGCAGGAGATTATAAGAAAGAATTTGTCTAAATAGCCGTAGACGAACACATATATTGATTATCAATTTCATAAATCAAAATCATCGTTGAAATCACTGTTCGGGTTAGTTAGACTCTCCATCAGTCCTTTAATCTTGGCTTAATCTTTCATATCGAGTGACATGGCCATATTAAAACAACTAAAATGTATATATAAAATAAATTTTACTTTTATGCTTCTTATATCCTATTCAACTTTTTTAGTATACGACCCATAAGAATTTAAATGGCACTTTCTTTTGGAATTAATTAACTTAAACACTGTAATTCACTCAATGCTTTCTCATACTAATCTAATTTTATTAATGAATTTGCCTAATTTTATTAGAAGTATGATACTTTCTGATATTTATTTAGTCCATTCATGGAATCTAACTTTTCACTTTATTCAAAATACTTCAAAGCTTCATAATGATCTCCCTTCGCAGCATAACTCATAGCCAAGAATGTTGGTAGAACAGGATTATTTGGGTTTATTTTAATTGCTTAGATAAAACATTTAATTGCATCGTCATATTTATCTGTTTTATAATACATATTTCCTTAACCCCACCAAGCATTGTATTATCGTTAATCAAGAGAAGTTGCAGCATCGTATGATTTTTTGGCTTATTGAAAATTCTCATTCTATGAAAATTCATGTCCTGATAAAGTGTAAGCATATGAGTAATCTTTTCTCAATTAAATGGCTCTTCCAAAGAATTTGATAGAATTATCTATTTCCTTAATTAAACTAAAACAATTTCCTATAGCAATCCAAGTTTCAGGAGCATTAATAGAGATTTACAAACATGAATGAGCTAAATATGTTAATTCTGATTATTTTTTTAAATGCCATAAACAAGATGAATAATAATCCATTCCTTCTAATCTAGTTGGTTCAATTTATCTCATTTCTTTCCAAACTCTTTCAGCATCTGTATATTTTACTTAATCCATAAAACTTCTGGCAACCTTTTCTAAAACCCATCCTGATCTATAATGTTAAGGAGGCAATTTCTAAAAATTTGCTATTGCATCCACAGAATAGTTAGTCCATAATTAATATGGATGAGCAAATAATTTTAAAAGTTGAGGTAAGCTTCCACTAGAATAATTTCAATACTTTATTAAACTAGATGATGATTGTAGAGAGACATTATTCACTTTCTAAATATCACTCTTTTTTTGATTATAATTCTTGTTTTAATTTTAAGAACCCTGGAATGGTTAACTTAATAAGGATTAATAATTCTATAATCCTATTCCAGGAGTTGGAATCATTTTTGCACCAATTTTCTTTTATTAAGGTTCTTAAAAATATTATTTATTTTAATCTTACAGGAAAACTTCATTTAACTATTTGATGAGTCATCCATATGCATCATTTAAGCTTATATTCCACTTGTTGTAAATGGTTTTATTCCTTGAGTTTGTCTTTTGTTTCCCAATTACTTTATTAATAATTTTTTAATTACATTATCACTTATTATAGATTCCTCTTTAAGATCTTCAACTTCTTTAGAACCTGATTTTGAATAATTTATTTTATTCTTAAGTAAATTTGCAATTAATTTATAAATATTACAACTCTCTTATCTGCTTGTTTCATAATTTCTTTATTTTTAATCTATGAAAACTTTATTAATTGTAACAGGTTCACCAATTTTGGACAATCTTTCAAATGCTATCCAAAGAGTTGGATTTTGATCTAAAGCCCTATAATATTATATTTTGGCATCATCTATTCTATGCATTTATTCATAAATTTATCCTAATAAGAGATGACCAAAACCTCCATTTGGTACATTTGCTGTTTACAATGTAAATTGATTAATAGATTAAGGACCCATTAATGCGATTTCAGCTTCTTTATATTTTTTATTTCTAAATTATGCAACAGCCAATTAATAACTGATATTCATTTACAAATTTCATACCGATTAAACTCTGACTTACAATCTTTTAAGATATGGCAAGCTTTATAAGGTTGATTCTCATGTAAATAACATTCTGCTAATAATGATCTATTCTCTTCAGTGTCACGTTCATAAACCAATCTTTCAGCTATTGAAATTTGAATTCAACACTAAGTACCCAAAAAGATCGCATTCTAATCCATATGATTTTATAATGAATCTATTATTGCTTCTATCAATTATAATTCCAATTAACTCTTTAATTATTAGGTTTCCTCCTCAATCATTAATATTTCAAAATTTCAAATAATTATAAATATACGTTCAATCCAAAATAAAATAATATGATCTTTCTTTTAATCATATCAATTAATAATATTCAAATTATTATTCCATTTTAAATGATGTACTTCTTACACAGAAATAATTTTTTATCATTTTTATTTTCCCCATAATATTTTCTCATATATTTAGTTGTATTTAGATAATTAAATTGTAGTCTATTATTAGAATGATAGATTAATCATAAGATTTGTACCTAAAAATTTTACTTTTTAAGTTCATTCATCAAAAAAAAAAACTAATTTATGCTTGTCAATTATATAATGTTATTATAATATATATTTATTTAAAATTTTAACTAATTAATTTTATTGTTAAATAGTTATTTTTTATAGTATAATAAAGATTCTAAACATGTTAGAAATGATATTAAGTTCTCTGCAATTTATTAATTATGAAATCATACAAGCTTATAAAAATATTAAATGCCACCATTTTTAATTTTTATTCATTTAAAGATTCAAAATCTTGATTAAACAAATTCTCAATATAAAGTTTTATATTACATTACATTATGATTTGCAAATAAGCAATAATAATACCTAAATTCAAATATATCTGAAGGATTGGCATATTTTTTATAATATTAAATAAAATTAGAATAATGAGCTTAATAGTACGACAAAGAGTAGGGATGCATGATGAATCCGTTACTTAATCATTCTAATCTAAGAATATAAAAAAAAAAAGTAAGGTTTTTTATAAACTTAGAACCTTAAACAAGGAAACGTAAGGCAACTAAATAACTTATATGTTTAGTTTCAGTACCTAAACCATTTAAAGAACATGTTTATATAAAGTCCAATGTAGAACTGAAATTAGCTCTCTCTTATATACCAGACCATTGTTTAGGTGGTTTAAAAGAAACACCATGTACTTATAATTATAGAGTCTCACGAACTGACTAACTTGATGATGTCTATTTCTACACTCTTGAATTACTTGACTAAGCCAATTATTCAATTGATTAAATTACTCAACTGCTTTCTCACTAATCTGATCCTCATGCTATCAAAGCAGCTTAATTAGTATTAGAACGACATAAAATTCTTTAAGAATTTACTTAATAAACCTATATTTCAAATGAAGATTTACTACATGTAGAAAATATAGCCTAAGAATATCCTTATTAATGTACAATCTAAAAGGTTAATAAAGATTCTAGTTCTTTATCATAAAGAATAGTTAATGAATAATTCTACACACTTATGGGAGTAAGTAGAGAAATGATGTTAAATCATTTACATGAAACTAAAACACTTCCATCTATTTTTGATCTTGGACCTTCACTTTAATTATGGTGTGATTTGTCTGCCAATTCAATTTAATCATTTCGTTCCTTTGAAACCTACATTAACACATATGAAGGTGCTCAATACAAATGTACTGTTGAATAAATGCAAATGTTCAAAAGAACATAAGTCAATCCAAATCAAATTGTCTTCATCGAATTTTGGCTCTTTAAAATTGATGAACCACTCAAATCCTTTCTCATGAATCCTTAACGCATATACAAGAATCAAATTGATTACTTTAATAAGAAAAACACACAACAAGAATATGAAGCTTTCCAATAATCAATGAATTATAAGCAAACCCCTTTATATAAAAACAAGAACCCTTGTGGATATAAAGAATTAACCTGGATTTGAACTATTATTCAATATATTATTCTAATTCATAATTTTAAAACTAAAGATTTTTTAGAAATTTCTAATATTCTTAATTTCTATTATTCATTAAAATCTCTTGCAAATTAAGTGATAATTAAGTTTACACTTATAATTTTTTAAATCTCTCCTAAAATTAAATTATACATACTTTATCATATTTTTTTAAATCTTTATTACATATTTTTAAGTACCCTATTCAAATATTTAAAAAAATAAAATACTAGTTTTTATAAAAACTATTTTTAAAATAAGGTTTACGATTAAGAATAGATACCATCATTTGAATCTATTCATTTTCTATTATTCTTTTTTCTAGAAGAAACTCTATCTAAATTACATCAAATATTTAAACTAAATTTGCTAAAAACATATTCAAAAAGAACTTATTCTTTAACTTTATTATTTAAATAACTTTGTCAAATAAGATACATTACAAAGATAATTAATTTAAAATCTATTAAAAATTTAGAAATTAAGAAACTTATTAAAAATATATATAAACATTTCAAGAGTTTAACAAATTTAAATTGTTAAGATTCCTTCTTTAAAGTAATTTATTATACGAAAGAAAATAAATTTAATTGAAATAAATTAATTAGAATAATTTAAAATTTTAAATCACATAAGTCTTAATTATATATTTGATTTCTAAAGTAAGAGGATATTTAATTTCTTTAAGGTTGCATTATTTTTTTAGAAATTGTGATGCAGTTATAAGAAATGATCAAATTTTTAATAGTAAATTTAATTAGACAATTATAAGCAACCCTTTAAATTGAAATAATATTTAGGAGCATTTATATTCTGTATATTTCTTTTATTTCTTGATGATAATACTCTCTTTTTTTATTTGGATACCTAGATTTTTGTATTTTGAAAAGGAAAACGTTTTGAACTTAAAAAGTGAGTAGTTTTGATGAATATTATTAGAAAATGATAATTAGGGATAAATTAACTTGGAGAATTTTATTGTTTAGTGTAAATATTTTTAAATGTCTTATATTATTCCACCAAACAATTCCTTAAAAGTTATAGAAACAACAACAAGATAAACAAAATTTGATAAGAAATATTTTTTATTTTAATATTATTAAATATAAATATAAAATGCAGAAAATAATACTATCAACCTTATTGTTGTGTGTATTAATATTCTTAGATTATCTTTATGGAAAGTAGACTTTTAACTTAAGTGATTCTATAACAGAATATATGTAATAATAATTTGATTATGGAGATGAAAATGGATTAGTAGGTATAATAGAATAGATGAATTATCATTAGAAAGTTTTTTACTTATCTTTTATTTTTTTGGGGGAAGATAATTTATGGGTTTTTTATTCATGATACTTTGGTTAAATTCAGGATTGAAAGAGTAAATTTTAAAATTAATTTCAATGTATTCAATTACAGCTTTTCTTGGTCACTTTACCAAACTTATATTAATTCAACCTAGACCTTTTTATGAAGAAACAGATATTCGATTAGATTTCTGTTAAAAGGGCTATGGAGATCCTAGTGATAATTCTTTAAGATCAATAGTGTTTTATGTAATTTTATCAGAAACTTTATTATTTAAAAAATATAAAGTGTAATCAAATGATTTAGGTGTTCTAAGTTCAATTAATTATGATAAACTACCTCAATATCAATACAAATTATTGTCAAAGTATATTATATATATATTTTAGGAATGATCTTTATACTTAACTTTATCCAAATTCAATGTTTAGTTATAATCAATATAAATTAATGTTAGCTATCTTTTTATTCTTCACAGGTATATCAAACTCTTATTTTGGTTTAAATTATTTAAGTCAAGTAATAATGGGATGGATTATTGGTGGATATGTGCTTTATATTTATTATTTTTGTGATTTCGAAAAATATATGGATAAAATATTTTTATTGGCAATTCAGAATTAATCAGAAGAAATGAATAAAAAACTTCGAAATGTAGGTAAAATGGCAATTTACTTCGTTTTTCCATTAATAATATCAATATTGCTTTATATATTTAGAATTAATAATGATGAATTAATTCAATAACAATAAGATTGGAATCAATTCTTTTAAACTCATTAATAGTGTTAAAGTAAAGTTTATCTTTTTAATATGTCATTTGAGAAACATGAAATGATTGGAATGTGTATTATCATATTACCATTTTATCTTTACTTATGTTGTTATTTTACTCCAGGGTAATATAAACCTTAATTATACAATCATTAAAATTTAACCTTAAAAGGATTTATTAGAATTTTGATACTGTTAGGTTTACTCATTCCATAGTTGTCAATACATATTTAAATTAGAAAATTTATTATGAGTAACAAGATTAACATAAATATCACTTATTTGATAATTGGATAATTATTTTTAGAACTTTATTTTTCTTTATTTTTAATTACATTATTACCTTTATTATATAAATTATGTAAAGTAGATATAGATGGTGATTTTTTAAGAAAAATAAACTAAATTGAAATGCAAGAAATGGAGTTATGAATTTGATTTATAAAATATTTATATTCATGTAAAATAAACTTAATATTGATTTTATATTTATACTCTACATTAAGGGCATTTTCCTTAAATACTAATTGAGCAAGTAGCACATACACATATATGTTTACAAGGTAAATAAAATTGAGTAGCTTTTTTACATAGACAAATAGAGCATTTTGGATATTTGTATTCATTAAATTATTATTTACATTTTTAACAATAATTAGGTTCATCAAAAGGGTTATCATATGGTTATGATTGAATATGACATCTTAAACAAGTAGAAATATATTTCTATTGTTTACAAAAGAAACAAAATATATTTGTGATCTCATTAAATGGACCAGTATCGGTTTCTTTTATTTCTATTGGAGGTTTAATTAATTAGAGAATAGGAAAAGAACAACCATTTGAATTGCATTTTATTATTTTATATTCTAATGTGCATTTGATGCACTTAAATTTATCTACTTAATCATTTGTAGTTTTCCTTATTTGATTTTAACCACATAAACAAATTATTTTTTTCATGTTTGTTGCACAAAATTAACATTTATAATTGATCTCCTAAGTTCCATTTATTTTATTTATCTTATTGCATTAAACACATTTAATTTCCATATATTAATGATTCTTTTAACATTTAAAGAAAAATGGTTCTACTTAATCTCTCGAAAAAGCAACTTCTTTACATAATTTACATTCATCTATTCTAAACGATAAATTGCATTCTGAACAAAAAATAATTTTATCTGATGAAGCTATAAATTTCATAGATTAACAATCTGGACAATTTATTATATAAAAATTGTTCTTACAAAAATGACAACAAATTTCTGTTGTTTATTTTAAGTTCTTATCTTTTATTACAAGCGCATTTTTACAAAAATTACATTTAAAGTTTCTCTATTTACTTCCACATACACATTAAATTATTTTATTTATATCCTGATCGATACAATATCTAAAATTAATAGTTTTCAATTTACTTATACATTTTGCAATCTAAACATTAAATGCAAATAGTTTATTATTTACATTTTTAACAATTTAAAATTTGTATATCTCTCGATTTCATTTCATTAATTTAGAATTCATCACCATTATTAATTTATCCACATCCGAAACAAAAATATAAATACTCCATTATAATTATTAAATAAATGATAATAAATTTCATATTTAAATCTCATAGAATTTAAACTTTTATTTTATTAAAAATAGAAAATATAGAAATAATCCATTGATAAAATACAATTATTAAATAATCTATAAAATAAATATCCATATTTATATTTTGAATTATTGGAACAAACTAAAATAATTCTAATTATCATTTTTTTATTTATTAAACTGAATGATTTGGTTCATAAAAGAATTAATTAGTAATTATGTAGATATATGTTTTTTGAAGTTAAAATAATTTTTTTTATTTAAAATGCAATAAAAAACACAGGATTTCACCCTAAACATTTATACGACTAAAGTATTGAGTAAGAGATCAAAATTTATCAAGATTATAAAATTGAATGTAAATCTTATTTAAAAGCTAGAGTAATAAAAAGATTATAATTTTAATAGAATAAAAGTTTTATCAAATCTTAAATTATGTATTATAATTACTTGGAATTATGAGAAATAGACGCATTATAAGGTGAAAATATTTTTTTTAAATCTCTGATTTTTGCTGTCAAAAAGTGTATCATGATGAGTTGAAATATCACATTAATAAATGTTCTTAATAATTAATTATATATTATAATGAGTACTTACAGCATTAATAGATGGAACATGTGAAAATTTATATCATAGTCTTGGATGATAATATTTTATGTTATAATTTAGAATCCAAGATTGATAAGAAAACCAAAAAAATAAATTCCACAAATCGTCTATGAACTAGATACAAATGACTTTTTGTAGAAGATGTTTAAAAATAGTTTAGAGAGATAATGAGGAATTTTGTTCACAATATTTCATAGTAAGTGTTATGGTCTAAACAATGTAGGTATGAGAAGAAGTGATTCAATTGCTGATTAGGTATAAATAAAATCTGATTTCATTCTGAGATTGCTTTAGAATAAAAATAAATTCATGTTTATTAATACCAACATAATTTATAAGTTAGCAAATTACATAACAAATTTCAATATTTAATTTGTCATTACCTGAAAGATTAATATCTAAATATAAAATATTTATATTTAACAAAGACTCCATTTTAGATACACCTGGTGAAATAAAGGAATGGTTAGAATAAATATACTAATAATGATTAATCATTAATTGATATAAATGCATAATAATTATCAATATTGGGATAAAAATTAGAAAGAAAATTCAATTTTAAGTAACAGTTGTAGAAAAACATAAATTAAAGCAAAGTAATGAAAGAACTATTTAAGGTTTTTAATGAATAAAAAAAATTAAAAATAAATTAAATAATTAACTCTAAGAAAGGTCTGATTCAAATTCAAATTAATCAATAGAAAGAAGTTAAAAAATTATATGATAAAGAAACAATCAAAAAAGAAATTTAGAAGCTATTAAAAAAATAAATCATGCAGTTTATTTATTAATAATATTTATAAAATATACTATAATAATTTATGAGAAATTCTGAGAGTTTTTTGAAAAGTGATGGTGATAGAATATTTTTAAAAGATGAAGAAAAGGAGGATTATAATAATTAACAAAGATGAAAAATAAATAACTAAAAGAAAGTTAAAGAATAAAAGGTATAATTGTAACCTAAGACTTAATAAGTTCAAGAATAATATTAGATGAAGAGATAAAAAATTAATAGAGTTTTGAAGATTATAAAAAATAGACCATAAGAAAAAGAAAATGTAATATTTATAATAATAACTAAGAGAAAAAGTTATTGGAAGAACCTTTTAATTATAGAATTAATCCAAAAAACTTTCGGTATAAAAGTAACAAATCTATATATAAATATAATGATTGGGAAAATTTATAGAGAAAGATAATATATTTTTATAGGTATATATAAAAGAGAGCTTTTTAGAAGAGAAGAGAAAGGATTAATTTAATTAATAAAGAGTAAGAATTTTTAGGAGGAAAATGAATAAATTTTTTAGAGATTTTTAATAAGTGAAAAGAAAATAAAATAATAGGAAAGCTTGATTAATGAATTCAATTCTTTCTGTTAATTAATTGTTTAAGTATTTTGGAATTATTGTCTGATTTTGGAGCATCATGTAATCTGTTTTAAATTTATAATTGCAATTTTCTAAAATAGAGAAATAAAAAATTACTGTAAATTAGTTTATTAAAATTTAGTTGGTTTTAATTGATTTTCTAAATTGATGTTTTCTTATTAAGATTTCTATTTATTTTACATTTAAACAGGAGTGGATGGAGCAGAAGTCTTATGTTTAACATCAAGTTATCTATAATAATTAGTAGATTGTGGAAATATCTTTTATTCATGTACAGATTTATGCGATTCATGTTTTTATACAGATACTTGTTATAATAGTTTTTATAAAGATTGTATTTGTTCTGTATATTTATTTTTAATTTTTTTGATTTCGTTGTTCATTTCATCATTTAATTATTAAATTTTATCTTCAATTTATTTAGATTTTCGATGAGGTGATTCAGCCACAGGTATTCTCAATTAATTAAGACTTTATAGACCATATTCAGACTAATAATATGAATTGATAGATATACCACTCTATTCATAGCTTTTTGATAAACTTCAGCATCTTAATATTAATGTTCTAACATAGTACCAGTATCATTCATAGGTATAGAATCAATATCATTTATTATCATAGTTCCTAGATCTTCTTCTTCTTCACATTCTACAAGTGTATCTAATTAAACTATAGCTTATTCTTATTATTATTCATTATGTTATTCAGGTTATTTATTTTATTTTTATCTTTTATAATTTTCAATCATCTTTCCATTTTTAATCATAAATTATTATACATATTCTCTACTTTTACAATACTTCTAAAAGAATGGATCTGAAAGTAATTCTTTCGTAGATGGTCTTTCTTTAGGATCTAAAATTAGACACTTCTTAACAAAAGTATTAAATTCTTTAGACCATCTAGTTTAATCACTCAATGAATTGGGTGGATTATTTTTTATAGCAAACATAGCTCTAATAGGATGAATATGAGCATAAGGAGGTTCACCTTCAGCCATTTCTATTGCAGTTATACCCAATGACCAAATATCAGTTTTCTTGTTATAACGTGACTTTAAAAGAATCTCAGGAGACATCCAAAATGGACTACCAATAACTGTATCTGTATCAGCCATTGTATGTACTAATTAAGTAGATACTCCAAAATCTGCTAACTTTATATTCCCTAAATGATCAATCAGAATATTCCCACATTTGATATCTCTATGGATCTTCTTATGATTATGCATATAATCAATCCCTTTAAACTTTTTAATATTATCATACCTTTTAATGTTTAATACAGAATTGTTGCTATTAACTCTTCAGGTAAACAAGAACCATTAAAACTCATTGCTTTTACTAAATCTATTACACTTCCTCCAGCACAATATTCCATCACCAACCACAATTATCCATTTGAATGATATGATCCAAAGTATTTTACTATATTATCACTCCTACAATCTCTAAGTATTTGAATTTCTCTTTTCAATGATTCAATCTCACCTGTTGTTGGAACTATTTTTATAGCAACAACCTTTCCATTATCCAATTAAGTAGCCTTATAAACTTGACCATATGATCCTTCACCAATTACACCTTCTAGACGATAACAATCCTCTGGGTTCATTAAACTTTCGTTCATTTTGAATTTATTTAAATTAAATCGTTGCTCTATAATATAACACTTACTTCAATTTATTCTTTTTATCATTTTATAAATCTCCTTCTTCAAACAATTCATTCTTTATCGTCAAATACTCCAATCATTATCAATCATTATCAAAAATTTATTCACTAACATGTTTTTCATTATTTTCTATCAAAAATTCCTAATCACTTTCTTATTTTTTAGATAAGCAATATTAATCTTCAAAAACTACTATCCCCACCCTATTCACCTCAAAATATCACAGAATTCAACAAATCCATTTAACAAATCCAAAATATATTTTTCATAATATTTCCTATACATTAAAAACCAATACTAAGACATCAATTGCTTGTTTTTGTAAAGCCTACTTACAATTCATAAAACCAAGAAAATATAAATCATTAAAGATTAAATTACTTTTAAGGTATATATTTATATTTATTTGTTTCAGACTGAGAACCAGATAAATATAATAAATATCAAAAGAAGATATAATTTTAAGCTTATAATAAATTATTATTTTTTAAATTAATGAATGAAACTCTTGAGTGATCTTGTTAATATAAACCTCAATTATACAGAAAGACTTTGAATTCATAGCTTAAAGATATTATTTTTAGTATTAGATAATAAAATTAATGTACATCTTCCAAAAATTTAATGGAAAACAATCAATCATATTATTTAAGAGATATGTGTAATTAAGATTCCAGAATAATAATTTAGTTGAAAATTATGATGATATGATTAATATATATTTCTAACAATTTATTTTAATCAAATGAAAGCTAAATTGAATAGGGAGGATTATTAATTTCGAAAAAAAACAGGTTAAGAGTTGATCAAATATCCTGGATAATTAAATGGATTAGACTTTGTAATTTCCAATTGTGAAGATTGTACAATCTACATTTGTGATCATGCTGCATAAATTTTTGTAGATTTAAGTAAAAATTGCAAAATTTATATTGGACCTGTTGAAGGCTCTATATTCGTTAGAAAATGTGAAAATATTGAAATAAGTGCAGCATCTAGTTAATTTAGAGTGTCAAATTCAAATAAGTACTAAAAAAATAAATATTATTAAGTATCTAATGTTATGTTTACACTCCAAGTGATCCAGCACTTGAAAAATCCGCTGGAATTGTATTTGCTCCATATAATTTTACTTATCCTGGTATTAGTGATGATTTTGAGAAAGCAAAGTTGGATCCTGCAAATAATAAATGGAGTGAAGTTTATGATTTTACTCCTAATAATGAGATAAGTAATTGGACTCTCTTGCATCCAACTTAATTCCATTTAGTAAGTAAGTAATTTGAAGGTCTTGAAGAACTTAAATAATATCCAGTTGCTATTCCAATAACATATGGAGGATCATGCACTAAGAAAATAATTTTAGGAAGTGCTGATTAAAGAGCTAATGGATTAGAATTAGATTTTCTAATGGGAAAGGAGAATGTAAAGAATTAATAATTGTTGTCTGATGAAAATCAAGTTTATATGGAAACCTAATTGAAGACAATTAATAAGGATAAATCATAAGAATAAAATAATATAGTTTAATATGAAGAATTTGTATTTGATTCAGAAAGTGTAAAAAGTACAGAAGCTTAAGTTAATATGCAAAGTTTGAATACTTTTAATGCATTTGATGAAATAGTTTTAGATAATCAATTGAATAAACAAAATACAAATACATAATTAAGTTAATAGATGTAAAGGGATGTAAGATTATTAGCTAAATTTAATATAGGAAGCTGAGAGAAAACTAAAAGAATAAAAAAGAAAATAGGCTTAAGAATATTTAAAAAATTTTATGAGGTAAAATAAGTAAATGAATTTAATTATAGTGATTTTACAGAATAAACAAATTTAAGGAAAACATAAAATAGAGCCATTGTCAGAGAGAAAGTTTAAAATTAATAAGGATGGAAGACAGTGGTTACAAATATCGACTTAAAAGATAATGGGGGAGAAAAAGATGTCAGTAAAATGGCTTAAGCTATAAAAAATAAATTAATGGACGAACTAAAATGATATGAGACATAATTAAATATATTATATATAAATTAATAATCTATAAATGGGGAATTAATCTCTTTGTTGTACTTCTAAAGGAGAACTACAGTCTTAAATTAGTAAAGTAGATGGAAGACCTTTAGCATAAATTATTTAATAAACTGAAGTGAATGGATGTCGAGTAGTTCTAAGTTTAGGAAAATTATTTAATGAATAAGTAGACATAATTGTACTACCGACAACTCAGAAATTGAAGCTTAATACTTAATCATCTGATCATATTAAGTAGAATATCTAATTAATTTAACAGAAAATTTGGAAATAATTAAATACTGAACGAATTACACCAAATTCTACTTAGCGAAGGAGGAAAAGTATAATTAGGATCTGTTATACATACTCATGCTGGAGAAGTGATATATTAATTAAGATTTTAGATGCCCTATGATTATTTATTTTTTACAGTATTACCAAATGCTACTGACGCTTCTATTATAATTGTAAATGAATCATTAGAATAAGAAATGGTAAGTTCTTTTGAAGAGAACTTCAGAGTTAATTCTATTACAGCATATAATGAGAAAAACAAATTCGATTCAACATAGTCTAGAGAAACTTAAATTGTTTATGAGGCTATTGTTAATTGTTTAGAAAAAGCTACAGAATTAGGAGTTAAATCTATTGCCTTCTCTGTTATGGATTAATAACTCATACAAATTACAAGAAGTAAATTGGCTTCAGTTATGCTTTTTGCAATCAAAACTTTCTTGAGAGACAATATTAGCAAAACTACCTTAGTAGAAATTAGAATTTCATCATGTGAAGCTCCATCATTCAAAATTTATAGAACCTATATGAATTAAATTTTAAATGATTAGGGTGAAACTACTATAGAAAAACTCTTTTAATAAGAAGAATAAATTTATTAATAAGAATTCAAAATTGTCAGTTAGAGTGATATCAAGAAAGATGATATTCGAAAATTTTGCAATGGATGTTAGGAAGGAGATTATCAAGCTAAAGATTTTAAAAGTTCTTTTTGATTGATCTCTTATTATATCTATATTTATTTGTAAAGATACTTTGTTTTTACTTATATTCTATACTTATGATTAGTTCTTTAAAGTATTGTAAACATTCATTAAAATAATTATTTTGAATTCAAAATAAAATAGCATGTAACCGCAAATTGTTGATGATTGTCTTCTTTAATAGGTATAAATTTAACCTATAACATAGTTGAGACGCATCTTTAGTTTTCCAGTCTTAAGTAGAAACAATTTTCTATTGAAAAAATTTGATTCCTCCACTGGGTATATTCGTCTTTCTTGTTTAGCAAAAGAGAATAGCTTTAGGTAATTTTTAGAATATCCAAATGGAATGCAGAATTTAGTTAATGTATATAAGTTTAACATCATTCAAAATAGATATTAATTCAATTCAACTATACCAATTGGGTTTATGATCAAACCTTTAGTGCAGTGTCTCCAATCTTTACAAAGGAGAGAAAATAAGTTTAAATTTTGATTAAGAAAAATCAAGTAGAAGAATTCAAAAAATTTTTATAAGAATTAGAAGTTAAATAAGAATGGGAACCAATGGAAGCTGAATATGTTCCAAATAAAGATATGATTAAATTATTCATTGTTTTTGAAACTTAAGAAGATGCCTAATATGGGTTTAGCAAAATATCACAATCGAAATCAATTGTAAAAGATCTATATAATTATATAGTATGGCATATAAAATGCTAAAATGGAAGAAGTTGATTATTTTGTTAAATTTTTAAGTATTGTTACAACTAAACAACTATAATTTTAAGAATAAAGAATTAATAACATGAGAAATTATGATGAAACTCAAAATTAATTTCAGATTCATTAATAATAATAACCTCAATAATCTTAAAATATTTAATAATAATAATAATATTAACAATAATATTAACAATAATAATAATAATAATAATAATAATAATAATAATAATAATAATAATANATCATGTGAAGCTCCATCATTCAAAATTTATAGAACCTATATGAATTAAATTTTAAATGATTAGGGTGAAACTACTATAGAAAAACTCTTTTAATAAGAAGAATAAATTTATTAATAAGAATTCAAAATTGTCAGTTAGAGTGATATCAAGAAAGATGATATTCGAAAATTTTGCAATGGATGTTAGGAAGGAGATTATCAAGCTAAAGATTTTAAAAGTTCTTTTTGATTGATCTCTTATTATATCTATATTTATTTGTAAAGATACTTTGTTTTTACTTATATTCTATACTTATGATTAGTTCTTTAAAGTATTGTAAACATTCATTAAAATAATTATTTTGAATTCAAAATAAAATAGCATGTAACCGCAAATTGTTGATGATTGTCTTCTTTAATAGGTATAAATTTAACCTATAACATAGTTGAGACGCATCTTTAGTTTTCCAGTCTTAAGTAGAAACAATTTTCTATTGAAAAAATTTGATTCCTCCACTGGGTATATTCGTCTTTCTTGTTTAGCAAAAGAGAATAGCTTTAGGTAATTTTTAGAATATCCAAATGGAATGCAGAATTTAGTTAATGTATATAAGTTTAACATCATTCAAAATAGATATTAATTCAATTCAACTATACCAATTGGGTTTATGATCAAACCTTTAGTGCAGTGTCTCCAATCTTTACAAAGGAGAGAAAATAAGTTTAAATTTTGATTAAGAAAAATCAAGTAGAAGAATTCAAAAAATTTTTATAAGAATTAGAAGTTAAATAAGAATGGGAACCAATGGAAGCTGAATATGTTCCAAATAAAGATATGATTAAATTATTCATTGTTTTTGAAACTTAAGAAGATGCCTAATATGGGTTTAGCAAAATATCACAATCGAAATCAATTGTAAAAGATCTATATAATTATATAGTATGGCATATAAAATGCTAAAATGGAAGAAGTTGATTATTTTGTTAAATTTTTAAGTATTGTTACAACTAAACAACTATAATTTTAAGAATAAAGAATTAATAACATGAGAAATTATGATGAAACTCAAAATTAATTTCAGATTCATTAATAATAATAACCTCAATAATCTTAAAATATTTAATAATAATAATAATATTAACAATAATATTAACAATAATAATAATAATAATAATAATAATAATAATAATAATAATAATAATAATAATAATAATAATAATAATAATAACAATAATAATAATAATAATAATAATAGTAATAATAATAATATCAACCTTAATAATAACCTTCATAATAATAAGAATAATAGTTTTTTGATTACTAATCTTAAGATATTGTTAGTTAAAGATTGAATTAAATAAGAACAAAGGAGAAAGTTGAATTAAATTTTGCTCCATTACAAGAACAATAATTTTAATTTTCCTTTGCTCCAATATTTTATCCATAATAGATAGAAACACCTTAAGATTAATAAATAGTAGCTGAATAAGAGGCAATTTAAGTTGAGGAAATTCAGGAATAACCAATAGTTGAGTAATCTTCCCAATAGGCAGAGTTAAAATAAGGAAGAGAAACAGAATCAAATAAAGAAAATTCTGTTGAGAGAAATCATGGTAGAAAGAATGATGAAGGAAGAAATGAATAGTATTAAAAGCCTTATTACTAAAATAGATACTATGTATAAATTTATGAATATTTAATTATAGCAAAATAGAAGGCCATATAATGATTCCCATTACAATAAAAATAAGTATTATGAAAATGGAAATAATAGAAAGCCATAATAAAATTACAGTAATAATAAATACCTAAATAGCTTAGATAAATTGGAAGATGATTTGAAAGAGTTTACGGGATATAAAAAATATTAATAAAGACCTTAAAAAGAGTATTATGAGCCAAAGAAGGAATCCTGAATTCTCTTATACATTTTTGTTAATTATTTAAAATTTTATCTCTGTAAATTTCATATATATATATATATTTATATAATTATGAATTAAACATAGAAATTATAGAAATTGGCATATTACCCAAATTTACTTGTAAGAAAGTCTATAAATATGGATAGGGTTAATCAGAGAGAATTATCTAACAAAATATAGATAGCAAAAAAGGTTTGGAAGAATATCTAGGTATTTTATAAGAAAGAGCCCATATTGAAGATCAATATGCAAAAGCATTATATAGATTATCATAACAAATTGAAAAATCAAGGTATTTAAATTTAATGATTAATTTTATAGTTTAAGTTATTTGAAGGGTTAATTAGCAGATTAGTTAAGATAAAAAATTGAAAGGTTGGAGAATTTTGTAGATTTGATAAGATCAGAGATAATTGATTAAGTTAAAGAAATCTTATAGGATTAAAATCATATATCTAAACGGATTATTGATGAGATAAAAGGTCTTGAATGGGATTTATAGGACAAATAAGATGATTTAATGGGAGGAAAATTAGATTATAAATTAACAGCAAAAGAGTTAGAGTAATCTGGGATTTAAGATATGATATATCAATATAGTAAAGATATTTCAGAAGACAAAGCTATAAAACAAGTTGTTAGGTACAAATAAATTAATATTACAGAACTTGCTAAATTTAATCAGAATGCATAAAATTAGAAAAAGAATTTGAGATTATTGTGGTTTCTTATAATGAATTTATTGATGTATATAAAACAAAAATGGAGAGTTATTTGTCATAAATGGAATAATAAGAATAATAAAAGTTATTAGTCCAAAAAGATACTTTAATGAAGCTTTTTTTGTTTGAGTCTTCAATCTTCAAATAGTCGTTATAAGATATTGATAAATTAAATGATTAAATAAGAAAAACTAACCTTTAAGATGTCATAGAAAATTTTATTATGAAAAATCAAAGACCTTAAGAAGCACCTCGATAACTTGAATTTCGACCTTATTGTTCTTTTTTAACAAAGTCAATTGAAATTATGAGAAATTAAGAGTATAAAAAATTAATGGATATTATCAAAGCACACAGTGATACATTTTACAATATTTATGATGATTGTGTGAATAGAAATGTAATATTATACTCTATTGATAGAATTTATAAACTATAGAAGAATAAGAATTGACAAATTTGATTAATCGTAACAGTATTTAAGCTCTTTATAAGATTATGTAAATACATATTAATTGTGTTTGGAATGCAAATGAAATATAAAATAATGAAACTATCATAGAATTACTTAGATAGAATTCATTAAATAGATTACTCTGGTGTTAAGCTTTAGAAATATAGGCAAATAAAAATAATTACAAGGTTCTATCTAATGACGCTTATGATCAATTAGTTAAATGGAGTTAAAAAATTATATAATTAGTAAATTAATTTTTCTATATAGAGTGTTCAGAATATTTGGATCCTTCACCTTTGAGAAAACTCATAACAATTAGTTCCATTATTCATATATCTGTTTAAAATAAAAAACATTTTTTAATGTACAATATAAAAGAAAGCAAAGTCTTATAAGCTGCTGATTTTATTGAAGCAGCTATTGTTTAATCGATTTATGAGGCTTTAATTGAAGAAACTAAGGAAGATTCAACATAAGAAGATAGAATCAGAAGGTAACTTTTAAATCTTATGCTAGATAAAAAATAAATATCTTGACTCAATTATCAAAAGTATGTTTCACTTTATTATAATTCAATCCTGTTAATGTAATTAAATCACATGCAGAGAACTATTTAAGATATCTAAATGTAGCTCGTGATGCTACTGATAATTTATTATTTTAGATTGAGAGTTTTGAGTAATTTTGAAATAAATTGATATATTTATTAACATAAATATTAACACATATATATTACATCAAAGAATTAATTAAAGAGATTATATTTAAAACCTTTTTTTTTATTTTCTGAAATTATAATTATTTAATCCGTTATTCCATTTAAAACTTGACATTATTTCTTAGACTTTTGAGTCATCTTTTATTTTTTAAATTCTTTACTTATTAGAAGATATTAATAAATATTATCTAAAAATGTATAAATTATTAATTGATATAAAAATATAAACTATTTCAAATGTTAGATTCATCTTATCCATATAATTGTGATATAGAATTACAAATCAACTAATTTTTAAGTAATAACTCATAGTTGTAAATATTTAAGTGAACAATTATTTAAAATTTTTATAAAACTCTTAGCATATCTGATTATTTTAATAAGGATGCATTTATATAATTTCCAGATATTTACTTTATAAAATTTTTTGTAAAATAAATAAATAAAAGAAAATTGAATAAATAAATAGTTTTATGATCAAAATGATAATCTATAATTTACTGAAAATGATTGATATATAAATATGTTATCTGAAATATGATGATGAGTGTAATCAATTGAATGGTTTTAAGTGGAGAAGTAAGTTTTTAATAGAAATAAAGTATTTTCAATGAATAATTTGACTAATGACTCTCAAATTATAATTTTATGGAATTAAATAAAATTTTATGGCAAATTACTTTAAGAATTTAATGATTGGAAAATGAATGTAAACTATTTTTAATGAATTTCTGAGGATATATATCAAAAACTTTTGAAATTTCAACAAAGATTAAATTTTATCATATAAATTGAATTCCACAGTGGATTGATATTAGAGTGAATTTAGATGTTATATTAAATTTAAATATACATTTTTTAATAATAATAATATTTTTGTATTTATGATATTACATATTTAGAATAATTTCACCATTCTAATTTATCTAATCCTTTTTCAAATTCAGCTGATCCTTCATAGAATTGTGAATACCATTATCTCCATTATAATAAAGCTTGATCAGAATATGTCTTTAGATTATATCTAAGTGTTTCTGAAAATATTTTGGCATTCCATAATTTAACATCAAATAGAACTTATCTCAATTCAGCATGTAATAAATATGCTGATAACCAATAAGGTAAATATCCATTTGTAAATACTGTATGATAAACTTTTTAAGTGAATTTTTCAATTGGTTAAATTGATTGTTTAAATAATACTTCAAAAATAGCACTTTTTACATATAATGCTACAGTAGCTGGTCCCATTTAGAATCCTGTTGCCCAAATAGCATGAAATTTAAATTTATTAAAGAGAATTACATATCCATCTAAAAGAAGCACATTTAAATATGGAATCAATTCCTTATTTGATAAATATTAATCAAAAAGATCTTTTTGATAATTTCTACATTTATGAACAGAATGTGTCATTTATTATAAGAAATCAGAGTCTTTAGCATTCTTTGTTTTCATTTCCCATTTTAAACTTATTAACCAAGATGGTATTATATCCATAGCAGAATAATGAATATAATCAAAATGTCTCATATCAGCACCATTTTCTGGTATTTCTTGAATGTGACAATTGACATAATTTACACTTTCAGCTCTTAAAGTTAAATGTTCGCTTTTCTCACTTACAATATTATACCATCTAAAACATATTAAAATAATTAGTTATACGGTTTAATTTCTTTAGAATGTAACCAAATATAGACTATTCCCTTTATTTCCTTCACCAAATATGTTTTTATTTTCACTTAACCATCTGCAATCTTTTATATATATTCTCCTTTTTAATTCTTAGTTACTCTTTCTATATCTGGATAACAATAAGTTGAGACTATCTTTGGATCTAGTTGTTCTGAATTAACACATAGACCACTTTTACCATCAAAACTCCAACCATGGAATGGACATCTTTTTAAGATTATCTTAATATCATTACTCTATACATGATCTATATTTCACTTAACCACCTATTCCTAAATTTGCACCCATATGAGGACAATATGCAGCTACTGCATAAACCTATTTATCAGTTCCTCTATAATAAGCAATATGTCTTCCACACAATTTTATTTCTTTTACTTCTCTTTTTTATATTACAAATATAATTTACCCTTCTTATAACTCTCCTGATCTACAAAGACGGTACCAACCATTTGGATAAGATGGTGGACATTTTCCTCTTGGTAATTTGTTTCTAACATTCTTCTCATCTAATCTCTCTACTATTGTAAAAAATTTGAATTTCTTGTAGTATACATAATACAATAACAAAGCTGTTAATGTCAAAACTACTTCAAATGATAAGATTGCCATTTTAAGAAATCAGAATATTATTAAATATATTTACATTCATTTATATATCAATGCTTATTTTTTTAAAAAAAGACTGAAAAAATTTAAGATTATCTTCTTAATCCTTAAAATGATCATTTATCCAATCAACTATTACTTACACATGATAGTCTGCTTCAAATAGATTCCTACAAATATTTCTTAATTTTTATAGAATTTTATAGTCAAACTTCTAACAAAAATTTCAAATAGACCATTAATGAATACAAGCTTAGACATTTACAAAAATAATCGATCAAGTTTATTAATAATTATGACATTAAGTCTTTTTAAAATTTAAATCTTCTATTCTCAAACCTAAATTATAAGATTGAAAAATGCCAAATTATGATGTAATTATTTAAAAATATATTATTTAGAATAAACATGTTTCATACAATAATATACTCAGATTTTCAATAAATTATTATTCTCAATCAAATTTTAACATATAATTAGGATTTGTAAATTTAATTAGCTGTTTTTACTTTTTTTTCGATTTTCGTATTTTCTTATACTTTTTTTTAGATTAAATTCTTAGTTTCTAATATTTTTCAGATTTAATTATGTGTGATTACTTTTAATTCAAAACACCCAGAATATTAAATATTTTGATAGGTTTTCAAATGTTAAGAAAGAAAAATTTACAATAAATTTTATTATTAAATATATAAAATTATAAAAATATTTTTTTAGAATTTTTTATTCTCATATTAATATTAATGAATATATAAAAATTTTTCTCATTTGCAATTTTTTCATTAATTTTATACTTCAATAAAATAGAAGTTGTTGTATTCAGTTATAATATAGTTTTCTTGTGAAAAATTATTAGATCAATATAATTTCTCTTATTCAAGTGTTTTTATTTATAAATAATCATTTTGGATTAAAATAAATTGTATATTTTACAAAAAAAATTATCGTTTAGCTATTTCATATCCACATTTTTATTTAATTTTTTTTGTCGATCAGATAAAAAATTAGCTTGATTTAAGTAATTTAAAGATATAATTTTTTTGTTTTTCGTTTAAAAGAAAATATATAAATACATTAATTGGTTTTATATTTAATCAAAAAAAATATTTATTAAACTCGAAAAATCCATATATAGTATTTTCAATAAACTCAAGTCATTGATAACTTTTTCATTTATTTTCTTTTAATGCTTATAAAAGCAACATTATTCATGGTTTCTTCATTATTTATTGCATTTTAAATTACTAAGGTTTTAGATTCCTGGAACGAATTTAATTAATTTATCTGCATTAAGTCATGATTAATATAACTCCTACTTTAAGTATAAAAAATGAAAATGTCTGAAGGAAAATACTTGACTTTTGTTTGTATGCACGATACACTTTTATTTATTCTTTGTTTATTCTTTAATTCATTGTTTGATATAGAGGTGCTTCTTCATCTAATTTAAGAAGAATATCTGCAAGTGAATTTGGAAGAGGGTTTAAATTAAGCAATTTTAATGCTATAAATTTTCCTTTGTTTCTTAAGTATTTAGAATAAGCGCTTAAGGAATTTTAAGACTTTTTATTCTTTTATAGTTTCTGATTACGTATATACAAAAATTCTAATACTCAGAGTATAAGAAGGTATTTCTCATTAGAAGATATATAAAATGTTTAAAATATCCAAAATATTATAGACTCATGATCAAAAATAAGGTTATTTTTGAAAACTAATATATATAGATTAGTTAATCAGATTTGAAGATTAGATATCCCTAAGATTCCTTTAATAGTTATTTTGCTTTTTTTGATTGAAGAAAGGCCTATTCTTGTTTCTTCAGGTTTCGAAATCCCTATAACGAATTTGTGGTTTTGAATCTATTTGATAAATCCATCAACTTGAGGTGAAGAGGGATAGTTTGTTAAGTCTGTTTCTAAGTCATCCCATTCAGAAATGAATATCTGAGGTGATTGTTCATCAAATGGAGTTTTACTATTCATTTTATGATTTTCTAGATAATTAAGATTGATATATTTATCAAAAATTTAATAGTTTAAAGTAATAAATATAGCTAGGAAATATAAGTTGATGTTTTGATTATTTTTATTCAGCTTGGCTTAGTTTTACCTCAAAATTTTACCTTGATAGATAGAAAAATTATAGATAATTTTACAAATAAAAATGAACTTTAATAAAAAATAATCTTTTTAATCTTAATTATAACAATAATTAATTATATTAAATATNAAAGAAAATATATAAATACATTAATTGGTTTTATATTTAATCAAAAAAAATATTTATTAAACTCGAAAAATCCATATATAGTATTTTCAATAAACTCAAGTCATTGATAACTTTTTCATTTATTTTCTTTTAATGCTTATAAAAGCAACATTATTCATGGTTTCTTCATTATTTATTGCATTTTAAATTACTAAGGTTTTAGATTCCTGGAACGAATTTAATTAATTTATCTGCATTAAGTCATGATTAATATAACTCCTACTTTAAGTATAAAAAATGAAAATGTCTGAAGGAAAATACTTGACTTTTGTTTGTATGCACGATACACTTTTATTTATTCTTTGTTTATTCTTTAATTCATTGTTTGATATAGAGGTGCTTCTTCATCTAATTTAAGAAGAATATCTGCAAGTGAATTTGGAAGAGGGTTTAAATTAAGCAATTTTAATGCTATAAATTTTCCTTTGTTTCTTAAGTATTTAGAATAAGCGCTTAAGGAATTTTAAGACTTTTTATTCTTTTATAGTTTCTGATTACGTATATACAAAAATTCTAATACTCAGAGTATAAGAAGGTATTTCTCATTAGAAGATATATAAAATGTTTAAAATATCCAAAATATTATAGACTCATGATCAAAAATAAGGTTATTTTTGAAAACTAATATATATAGATTAGTTAATCAGATTTGAAGATTAGATATCCCTAAGATTCCTTTAATAGTTATTTTGCTTTTTTTGATTGAAGAAAGGCCTATTCTTGTTTCTTCAGGTTTCGAAATCCCTATAACGAATTTGTGGTTTTGAATCTATTTGATAAATCCATCAACTTGAGGTGAAGAGGGATAGTTTGTTAAGTCTGTTTCTAAGTCATCCCATTCAGAAATGAATATCTGAGGTGATTGTTCATCAAATGGAGTTTTACTATTCATTTTATGATTTTCTAGATAATTAAGATTGATATATTTATCAAAAATTTAATAGTTTAAAGTAATAAATATAGCTAGGAAATATAAGTTGATGTTTTGATTATTTTTATTCAGCTTGGCTTAGTTTTACCTCAAAATTTTACCTTGATAGATAGAAAAATTATAGATAATTTTACAAATAAAAATGAACTTTAATAAAAAATAATCTTTTTAATCTTAATTATAACAATAATTAATTATATTAAATATATATAAAATTCATGTATAAAATTAGAAGTTTAAATTTATTCAAAATTTTTAGATTGTTATTGAAATTGGGTATTACAAGAATAATCTAAGAAATAATCATTTGGATTATTACTTTGTACAATAAATAAATAAATTTATTAACTTTTTAATGGGATAGAAAAATAGTAAAGAAACAAGTAAAGTAATAATAATTTTATAGGAATAGAAAATTTAGATGTAAAAAATTGTGATCAAAATAAGGAAAAAATAGAAAATAAATTATCATTTAATGAGAGAGCATAATCAAGAAAATCTGAGTAGAAATCTCTACCTATAATTTATCAATATAAATCGTAGTTTGAAATTCCTTAATAATGTATGAGGTTTAAAATATAATTTAGAAAATGAGATATTTTAAGAAAACGATGTTTCATTTTTAAAAGGAGATGGTGAAAATTAAGAATGTGGAAATTTAGAATAATCAACAATAAATATGTAGGCAATTTTAAATGAAAAAGGATTAAGTTCATTTAATGATGGATAAAATTAAAGTTAAGATGAAAAATTGGTAGATGTTTTAGAATGCAAAAATAAACTTAAATTAGTTCCACTTATTTTATAAGATGAATAAAATCCATTAGTAATAAAAGAATTGAATGAAATGAAATTTGAAATGAATTAAGAACATGATCCAACAAAAGAATAAGCTAGACTATATAAAGGATAATAAATAATGATAAATAATTTAAGAATAGCTGGAATATGGAAATATCTTGGTCCCTATATAAAATGTATTTAAAATAAGTAACCATATTTATTAAATGATAATTCAATTTATATTGGTGAATGGTTTGAAAGAAAGAGACATGGATTTGGTTATTAAATAAATGATGATTATATTTATGAAGGTTATTGGCATAATGATAAATATCATGGGAATGGAAGGATTATTTATGAAAATGGAAATGTTTATATAGGATAATTTTAAGAAGGATAATATGATGGGGAAGGTTTTTTAAAAAATACAGATTAAAATAATATAATATATGAGGGTTAATGGTCTAAAGGTATAAAGAATGGATTTGGAAGGGAATAAATGTGTGATGGTTAAATTTATATAGGGTAATTTAAGTAAAATGAGAGACATGGTCCTGGAAAGTTATTTAATTTAAGAGATTAATATATTTTTGAAGGAGAATGGATGAAAGGTAATATATATGATAAAGGAATTGTGGCATGGTAGGATGGAAGAAGATTTGAAGGAGATTGGAAAAATAATATGATGAATGGTTAAGGAATCTTTTATTGGCCAGGAGGTAAAAAATATGTTGGAAATTATTTAAATAATATGAGAGATGGTTATGGAGAATATTATTATAAAGATGGTAAAATATATAAAGGAATGTGGAAAGATGGATTAATGAATGGATATGGTGTTATTATATATCCAAATAATAGTCATGAAATGGGAATTTGGAATTAAGGAAAAAAAATTGATTTCTCAGGAAATTAAAAACATAAAAGAAAAGGAACTATTTAAACTTTAGGAATATGAACAATTTTAATTTATTAATAATTTAGTTTACAAATCTTTTATGCTAGTCATATGTAAATAAATAATGAAGATTTAATTTGATTATTTAAAATTTTATGAAAATTTAATTTCACAATTTTAAATAATGTTTTATAAATTTTGTATATAGTTCATGATTTTTCATTCTCATTTACATAATTGTTAATAAACAATCTTATTTAAATTTCTTTAATGGTTCTTTATCTACTTATTGTTTTTTTGTGATTTATAAACATTTAGCTTAAGTATTTTATTGTATTTCTGCCAAATTAAATTATTCTTAAAAAAATTAAATAAATGCATCATCAACAACATCTAACAATTAATGGTGAGCTTACATAGGTTATCTAATAACTATTTATACATTAATACTTCAATGTATGTATAAAAAATACATCATAAAATAACATATGTGATATATCTACAATTTTATGAATGGAAAACTCAAATTTTAGTTTTTATTACATATTCATCAATTCCTTCGATAAATATTTTAATATTAAATTTTCTCTACGATCTGATAAATCTTTACGAGCTTAAGATGACAAAATACTAAAAATTGAAGGATACCAAATAGATAATGCAATTATGAAGTCAGACTTAATATTTAGTTTATAAAATTCTATCAATTTATCATAGAGATTGAACAATTAAACATTAGTAAACCTTTTTAGTTCTATATCTTATTTAGAATTATTTATTTTTTGATAGGATTACTAAAAATGATAATTGTATATGTTATAATTAATTAGTAAGTCTTCCCAATAATCCAAAGACAATTATTCTAAATAGTTAGCATAATAATTGATAGCTTCATGAAATGGTGGATCATATTCTTAATTAGTAGACATACGTAATCTATAGAAGTTCCTTACAAATTTTAAAAAATCTAAGTCCTTTAGTTCCATATATTCCATTAATATAATTCAAATTTTAATTAATATGATGCCTAACAACTAGTACTAGAGTCCTTAGAGTTCATAATTACCTGTACAAAGTTACAAGTACTTAGAAGTTGTACGTGAAGAAGATGCTGAAGATGAGAAACCAACTCATATTTTTAGTGAGAATCTAACGGAAAGTCAAACAAGTAGATTAAATTCTCATATTTTTATAAGGAATGCTTACAGCTTATACAACTCCTATGAAGAACATAAAACGTAATGGAGGTAACTCATCATCTTCTGGAAGGAGTCCCTTTCAAGAACTCTAAAAATCAAGTTCCAATCAGGTAATTCAAATTAAAGAATGTTTAGAAAATTTTTACAACTGTAACACCAAACAAGAATTCAGTTTTGAAGTTCAGATGACATTTTTTTTTAATTTGCATTTCCCCTTATTAAAATGCATTACTGTAATTATTTTCTTTTAACAATTTCAACTATTAATAATATAAAACTTTTTCATTTAATATTATCAATAAATCTCCAGTTTTAATATTATTACTTTCTAAAAGATTTTATTTAAATTACAAATTATTTCTACTCAAATTATTACTACATTAAAAGACTTCTAAATTTTAACATTATAGATTTATATCTTCATAATATTATTCTTCAAAAATATTTAATAAATTAAGTAATGTAATAAATTGATTAATTCATTAATTTTGTTGGATTAGAAGCATGTGATTATGAAAAAACACTTATTGGAATTGCAAATTTCCTAGGATTTAGAAGACCAAGTTATCTAGCATTGCTATATTTATCATTTTCAATATTGCTCATTTATTTAAATATTCAACCGCAATTTATCAGTGACTTTATTGGATTTTGTTTTCCAACATTTAAAACATTTTAAGCATTAAATTCAATATGTAAAACATTTAATTATATACTTTAGATGATTCACAATTGAAGTGGATAACTTATTGGATAATGTACTCATTAGTTGTATTAAGTCATAAAATCATACTTTATTATATACAAGCATATACTCTCTATTATATATTAAGAATTGCAGTGTTTATATACTTATTTTCAAGTGGAGCTGAAAAGGTGTAATAATCCATAGAAATTCTATACAAAAAATATTCATAGGGAATAGAAAGGAAATTAGAGGAATTAAATTAAAAATTCACTTTTTGAAAATATTATTGTCATTATTCAGATTTGTTATGGGGATCAAAGTATTTGCTTTCCTCCTATATTCTCTATAATTATTATTAAAGTAAAAATGTCTCTTGCATTAACGCCTATAAATATTTCTCTTTAATTTCTTCATCATGCTTTGTCTATGTCAGGAACTTCTATTTTGCTCCATAAATTATTGAATTCTTATCAAATTTTTTAACCATTTTGTCAGCATCAAATCCTTCTCGTTTTGCTTATCGAGTTTTTGATGTTTCCTTATACATTGAAATCTCTTATTCTAATAGTTTCTTTTCTTCAATTAAATTTTAAATTTATCTAAAATATATATATATACATTACCTATCTTTAAGAGAATTATCTGGTTTTAGTTTATTTTATGAATTTATAGGATTGACAGTTTTAATTTTACTTGTGTTACTTAAAGTTGATTTTTAAACTAGAATTTAATCATTCAAACAATCATGTCCTTCATATTTTTTGGGAACTACAATAAATGAAGATTGTTAGAGATTAGGTTTTTTAATTTAGATTTATGCTTAAAGTTCAGAATTCTATTTTTTTAATGCATCTACTAAAAATTCTAACTCTCTTATGTATTCAATTCTGACAGCTGAACTACCAAATGCACTTTCATCAACGAATAAATTACTCAATTTTTAGTTAGTTCTATGAATAATTAAATATAGTATTACGGATATTTTGCATAATCTGATGGTTTTTGCCCTAATTCAATTTTTTTGGTTTATGAATTGGCCATTTTTTCTATAGAAGATTATGGTCTTTTTTTGGCTTCAAAATCATACACCCCTAAAGTAGTTTTTAATGATTTGTTTTGTGATTCAAGTATTCTTAGTTCATTAAGATAAATTTATATAAATACCTTCTTTTAAATTTTTGATGTATAGATTAGAAAGTGCAACAGGGTCTTAAGCTTATTTGATTTCATCAAGCCAATTAATAGGTTTTTTTGTTTATGGATGTTTATTCATAAATAAAAATAAATGGATAATTATTTCACGATAATCAGTTTGCTTGGTTTAAGAAATTAGAATTTACCACCATTTAGGTAAATGCTGATAGATAATCTTATAGAGAAGCCCGTTTGAAAAGATATAGATCTATAAAGAAAATGGTTGAGTTGATTGAAACAGCAGGATGGACTCAACCAAAGATACCATACAATGCTTTCTGTTTAAGTTCACAAGACCGTATTGATTCATATATAGATTGAATAGCTGAATGGGAAGATGATATGACTTATCCTGTAATTGAATATAATAAGTTTGGATATTAAGCAGTGGCATTTGGAATAAATTTGGTATATAAATAAAATAATGTAAAGTTCCTTTATGCTTACAATTATAATGTGATAACATAAAATATTAGATTCAGAACATTTCGATACCTCTTTCCAGTTGTATAGTGTGTAATATTTGGCAAAATATATTTCGAATACAAATCAGAACTTACAAAAGTGAATTTGTTCGATGAATATGTTCAATTGAGAGCATAAGAATTGGTGAAAGAAAATGAATATTTATTGGAACATGAAGGTTCTAATCTAAAGCAATAATTGTAGATATTAAAAGATTTGTATGGTGGTATGAGGATTATAAGGAAACATTATGTAGAGTACATAGACAAGCAAATGATCATGCAGCTACAGATTTTAAAGATTCAGAAATTATCCTTTAAGATTTCATTAGAAGATATACCAATCCAAATTCAAATAGACCACTTAATATCTAAGAGAAAGGAGTCTTGTTTTGAAATAACCATTTTATCCAAATATCATTACAATAGAAAAATTTTAATTACTCCATCGAAATTCATGCAAACTATATAATTCTAATATTCTGATAAATTAGCCACTCCATCTTATGATACGCTTTGAATGTTCTTAACTTATAAAACTTTCTCTTTTTCTTATGCCTTCACAAATAAATTATTTTCAGGATTTAATTAACTTAAATCAACATCTGTTATTGATATTGTACCATCATAACATCCACATATAATCCTAAACTCTGTTGCACTTATCGAACTGAATACTCCTCTTGAAATAAATGAATTATGTCCCAACAAACGGATCCATGATATTTTCGAATTGAAATTTACAACGTAAGCTGAATCATCCTATGCCCCTAAACAAACCTATTTAACTAGCTCTACTTACACTGCTAAAATTAGGATTAAATGAAAATGAACATATTCCACAACATTCTGTTTTAAATGAAAATAATGGCTTGTTATTCATTGCATCTAATAATCTAAAATATCCATCTAATCCACTCATAGCTAAACATAAACCCTTATCCATCCTTAGTTCTGGCTTATTAAGATGTTCTAAAGGACTAAAAGGTAATATTTCTATATCATTTATTGACATTGCTTCAAACCTAAATAAATATTCAGGATTCATCTTTTATTAACAAAACTAAAAGTTTGAAAATTCACCATGATTTAAATAATTATAATGAAAATCAAAATCTTCAAATTTTTTTAGTGTCTTCTGACTTACTTTTATAGATTATAATACTACCTATTTTTTTATGAGCTTAAAATGACAATCGAATAAATTTCTCATATTCGCTTTATAGTTTGATTATTTAATGATCTTTGTGATAAATACAAATCACTCCCTCTAAAAACAGAGTAACAAAATATTTTTGAAAAATATGGATTTTTATAGGTTTTTTCTTAATTATAATTTCTTAATTCTGTCGATTGAATTCTTTCATTATTCGTTGTGTTGATATCTATTTTTATACTATTCTACCATCCATATATCCACCAATTATGTTATCTGCATCCAACAATCTAAAACAGGATAATAATTAATTTGGTAATTCCTCATGTTATTTATTCTAAATTGCTTTTGTGCCTGCAAGACCAATATATGCAAACAATTTGGGAATCTTCAAAGCCAATAAGGTCTCACTTTTTTAAGCTATGAATAATAAATAAAAGGCATTTTTACTTATAAAATCTGTTTAAATTGTTTCAGGATCTGTAAATGGCTCCTTACTATTTATTGAGCAGACCAAATACAATTTATTTAATTTTGGTTATAAGACATCCAAAGTGACAGATCCATCTATAACTTTATTTTAATCCATATTATAATATTTTATTAATCAATTAATAATTTCAGTATTTCATTAGAACAAATTTATCAAACTTTCATAATTAGATATTGATATTATTATATATTTTTTAGGACCAATTTAAATAGATTTTAATGAAATCATATAAATAGATTCTTCAATCTGTTGATACAATCTATTCCAGATTCAAAATAAACCTTCTCACATTCTAAGTCTTTCTTTAGAATTTATTTTTCTAAGTCATAACCTTTCCTAACAAAGATTATATCTTCATTTCTCAATAATGTGCCTGGACAATAATCATTTTTGCCATCTCCAAAATAGCATACTTTTTGATAATTATTCAATTAATAGTTTTCTAAAATAATAGTTCTTTTGCACATATTTCTTGGACATGTGGATTCACATTCATTTTTATGATATGGAAAAATAGATATTTCTTAATCATCGATAATTTATGCTGGATTAGTATAAATATTGTCTATTAAATCTTTAAGTCCTTGTTTTTCTAATATTGAATTAATAAAAAAAGTATTTGCATCGCTTGCTATTATACATTCAATATGTTCCTTATTTTTTCTGAAATAAAATAGTAAATAAAATATACCTGATGAAATTAAATAACTCCTAAAAACCTAAAGTTAATTCCATTTCTTATAAGCAATTTTTGATCTGTTAAACACTAATATCATTGTGATAATAAAATTGTAAGACTTTTCTCATAAATTTGTTCCAATCCTATTCTTTTTCGAATTGAGGAGGTAAACCTTTCTAACCTTCTGGGAGCAATTTCCAAATGTAAGTATCTGCATTTTCATTAATGATAGTATTGTCAAAATCAAATATGAATAGAAATCTTTTCTTTAACATTTTATAATAATAATAATAATACAATTTCAACACTTGAATTGTATTAAAACCGATTCACCTAATTTAATCCAATTTTGCAATCCTTTTTAGAACTCAGATAAATTTAGTGATATATTATTCGTATTAAAAGTAGTATCAATTGAATTAACAATGAATACATTTTTGTAAGTTGGTGTTTATCTCAAAATATCTAAGCCTTTTATGATTAGAATGAAGAGATACTTTCCAAAATATAGGTAGCCTTCTCTAGTAATTAATAATCATTTGTAGATTTAGCTAGTTTAATCACATCATAAGCTCTTGATTGTTTATCCATCCAAATTTATTCTTAAGTGTCTATGTTATTAACTTATGTTTCATAATGTTAATTAATTAAATTAACAACTTCATCTTTTCTTTATTTGATTAATTTGAAAATGGTAGCAAAAGTTGATTCAATTTCTTTAAGTACTTTTTATTTTGATTCTTCAAATGTTAATTTAGTATGTCTAATATCCACAAGAACAGTTTCTGTTTTTTCTAATTTGAGTAATCCTTCTTTTGCAGCTGAATCCATTTATGTTCTAATATCTTTAGTTGCTTTATCCATTTGATCAACTAAATGTCCTTTGTGTTCACCAAACATCAGACAAGTTGGACAAATCAATCTATAATGATAAATATTAATAATACACATGACAAACAGTACAAAATGCTTCAAGTTATCTTTTATGATTGATACATTCTCCAATTCGTAAAGTATCTTCACTATTAAATTATTTAATTGAATATCCAGATTTAACTTGATCTGACTACATATGTTAAATATAAATTATAGATTTAATTATATAAAAATCTCAGAACTTTAACACTTTAAGGATGAGAATGTTGTGTAATCTTAAATATATTTCAAATTCACAAAAAAAACTAAATGAAATATGTTAGAATATGTAAAATATTAGAAGATCAAAACCCTGTAAATTCTATTGTTTTACATATAATAAGCCTAAAATTTCAAGAATATAATATCAATACAGCAAAAGATACATTTGTATTATCTTGTATATTCTGTATTTGTACATAAATGTTGGGTTTATTACCATTTTGAATGAGTGTAGAATAGTTATTCTAAAAAACATTATTGTCCTAAATGGGATAAAATATTTAGACACAAAGATGAAGAAATTTATTGATGATAGATGTATATTTTTAGAATCATTTCTTCTCAAAAATTGAAATATCAAAATTATCAATGTCTTATTTTAACAATTCTTTTCTATTAATATTCTTTTCCTTGGCTCTTTTCTTCAATCCTCTTAAATATTATCCTTTAATAAATCTAACATGATTAGGATTGACATCACCCATAAATTTAGCTATCTTTTTATTATTTACTACTATTTCAAAATATTTGAATAGTCCTTCTAAAAATTATTTATATTATTCATCTTTCCATTCTTCTCTATTATCGCTATGATAAATATAAGAACTAATTATAAAGACAAGATATATACCGTTTTTATTAAGTTTTTGGAGCATTGATATAATTAAGATAATCTTCAATAGCCAAATTAACTTATTCTAAAGAAGATTTTAATCCTAAAAGACCATCTTTATTGGTCTTTAGAACTCCAAAATATTCTTTAAAATGTTCCTTTTTTGAAGTATAAACAATTTCAATATAACTTTTATAAACTCTAAGTAAATCATCATATTAATCAAATGGAATATCATAATATAATTCTAATTAAGCAAGCACATTAAAATAATAGTAATCATTTTACATATCCGTTTTATTCCATTTCTAATAAGAATTAAGTGACTTATCATTCTTTTCTTCTTCATCATAATCCAATTAATTTATTTTCTAGTCATCAAATTTATAATCAATTCCCAATATTTATTATGCAAATCTGAGACACAAGATTAGGATGTTTCTAATTAATAATAATTCTTTTCTATAACTAGCAGGAGTACTAGAAAAGTAATTCATCAAACTAATATTTTGATTTCTGCAATATTATTCAAAATCAGTCATCAATTTATCTTTAGATTGTTCTAAATATTTTTGAAATAATTTCATAGAGGTTTTTGATTCAGCATTATCATCTAAAATAATATTCTTCTTCTATTTATTTTATTTATAATTCTCTTAGTCACTTAGACATAAATATAAAATTAAGTTTTAAATTCTTAAATGTGATCTATTGAATTCACAATTCTCTCCAAAGATGAATCTGTATATATAAGGTAAAATCACTAAATCAATCTTATAATAACAACAAACTTAATTTGGTACAAATATTGTTCTTCTTTCATCAACATCTAATCTTTGTTATTCTTTAATCATCACTCTCCTATCTCTATAAGATACTTAATCTGTTTTAGCAGATCTTGTCTCTTTATTTTAAACGTATGTAACTCTACTCATTAAATCAATTTGTTAATTCTTCACTTAATCAATTTGTTATTGTAATTTTAATTGATATTTTCTTTGCTTACATTCCACCAAAGATTGAATAATTTCATTATAAGAGTCAATTGCTTATAACTGTTTATTCTATGAACTAAATTTTACAATGATATTTATTACTTCTCTTAATCATATTCAGATATCAATACACTCACTTCAGGAATCTTTAAAAATTCACTCTTGTAATCTACCTTCGAAAAATCTAGAGAAGCCAAATACTTTCTTAAAGCATGAGCATCTTAAAGAATTTCTTATAATGATTTCTTCCCTCCACTCTTTTTCACTTATTCCTAACAACAATTTGGTTCCAATGTATGTAACAATTTTAAACGTAATTAAACTTCATTCCAAGCTTCACTTCCATGAATCCAAAATTTAGAACACAACCTCATTTCCCTTATTATTAAACTAGTTAATTCCTTTATTGTTTTGCTTCTCTATGGTTATATTGCCAACTCTAGTAAATATGTTTGTAGTTCAAACTCTATCATCGAACAAAATTCCTTATGAGATATCCTATGCATTATATGTGAGGCAAGATAAGGAAGGTAATTTATGTTTAAATATGTATATGGACCCAATTTTGCCTCTTCTGGTGTGAATATATGCAGATCAAGAACTTTCTCATCCATGCTGAATTTATCCATTTAATAATTTTAATGTATATGTACTAAATAGCTTCACAATCCCTTTATTTTATTTTCCACAAATAGTTTTTCATTTTCGCTAACTTCAATTGCGAAGTCTTTTACAGCAACAGATGAACATTTTCTTGACTTAATTTTCTTTGTCTTTGTAAGGAATTTTGAAATGCCAATCCATTCTCCAAGTAAAGCACCTTTTTCAACTTTCCAAACTGGAATCTGGAATTATTTTGCTAATGCAACAACCAATTTCTTGTAAGTGTCTTCTGTGCAATCATCAGCTAATACTACAAATTTGGCCTAAACTCACTCTAGTATAATACTTATTTGCTTTCAATTGCCTTACAGACCTCATGTACTCCCTTAGCTAATTGTCCTCTATGTAATGAAGTTTAGACAACTCTTTTTAATGTTGTAAGTTCTTCTGATAATTGCTCAACTTCTGCCATAATAAAATAATTTAAATCTTATTTAAATTAAATAACTACAAAACTCATTAAACCAACATTTTCTTCATACTTCTATTACCTGGCCATACTTTTCTACTTATCTATCAAATCCAATTTTCATTATCAAATGTAATAAATCTTACTTCGTTAACATTTATTAATATTCAAATTGATTTTTACTATTTCACTCAATATTATATATTATTTATTATAAGACCATTAGAATATTTTTAAAGCTTATATAAATATTTATCAAACCAATCTCATAAATTATTTTTTTATCTTTAGAATCTCATACTTACATCAATATATTTCTTAATGTTTATAACATTTTTTTATATAATTTTTTACTTGATTATATAATTTAAGCTAAAAATAGTAATAAAATTAAAGTAATACTGTAAAGGAATGAGATGACAATTAGTTATAAATTTAAGTTTGCTTTTGATATCCAATATTAATTATATATCTAATTGTATGATGTAGATATTTCTATTTATTAATTAATATTATATAAATGGGCGTTGTTTGTTCAGGGAATAAGAGAAATGAACAGTTATTGTAAGTTTTATAGAAAAGGTTAGATTGCATGTCGATGTGTATATATGGAAGGAGAAAGAAAAGAAATATCATCTTTATGACTACTCAAGCCATGAGTCACATTATTAGTAATTACAGCTGATTCAAGACACAAAATTATGTAAATATGGAGAAAACATTCTGGCTGTTTAGCCTAATGTATATAAAATTTATTTAATGATAGTAAACAATAGAAGGAGCCTAAGAGTTGTTCGTAATAAAGGAAAAAGTTTTGAGACCTATTACAGAAATATGGTCAATAATTAGGAATGATTAAGTAAATGGAGTTCCAGTAACGAATGTATATATATGTTTCTATGGAAGAGAGTTTAACTATTTCCTGGATAAACCATAAGACTAGGAAGAGTTAAAATCATATTGTGGGAAGCTTGTTTTAATCAAGCAATGGCTACAGAAGAAAGTGAGAAAGAAAAAGATGAAGATGCCAACGGATTAGATGATAGTGAAAACACCAATGCCGAAAACTCTTGTCGAATCTGTATGAGTAAATTAGGAACGATCTAAAATCCACTTATCAATCCTTGCCAATGTAAAGACTATCACCTAAACATATTGCAGGTTCTGGATCTGTCAAATACATACACATTAAATGCCTTTAATAGTGGATACACAATAAATTTAAGATTAGAGAACTCAATAATATTGTCCTATATTTTTGGTCAAATCTAACTTGTGAAATTTGCAAAGAATAATATAAATGTAAATTATTTATCAATATCAAAATTAGTGGAATACAAATTTAAGAATAGAAAATATCATTTAATAGATATTCCAAGACCGAAAGAGGCTTATTTTATATTTTGGATTAGCCATATTGATAAAAATAAAGAGAAAGGACTATATGTAATTAACTTGAATGGGAGAAGCAATATAAAGATAGGAAGAGTTTAGGAGAATGATATAAAGTTGCAAGATATCAGTGTATCTAGAAATCATGCTGTAATAACTTTTAATAGAGAGGATGAATCAATTTATTTGGAAGATTTAGGAAGTAAGTTTGGAACATTATTATAAATTGATGAATTAAGATTAGACTGTAAATCAATAATCCAAGTAGCGAATTCAGTGTTTATTTTTGATTACTTAAAAAAGAATCAGAAGCACTACGAATTGCCAAGTTTTTACAAGGTAGTTGAAAAGGAGACATAATAGCAGGCATAAGTAAGAAGATATAAAAATAATAATAATAATAGGATTTTGTGGAAGATGACGTATTGGTGAATGTAGATAACAATAAGTATTTGAGTGGAGAGAATGAAGCCCTATGATATTTTTACTGAACAAAAAAACTATATTAATATATGATTCATAAACAATTGAATGACATACTATTTTTATTAATATGTTTACAACAGATTGGCGTTTAGATTTGCTAAATCAAAATCGGTACCTGTGGTGGATGTTACATAATTTCTTTCTAGAAAAGGTGATTCATCAAATGAATGTGGTTAAGTAGCTGAGGCTCTACATAATTATGGTGCTGTATGCATAAAAGATCCAAGAGTAAATGATCGTCATAATGTTGACTTTCTTGATATGATGGAAAAGTATTTTGAGAATAGAGCGGCAAAATTCTACAATGATGAGAAAGTATAATTGTTTTTATAATGTCTAGGTAGAAGATATATTTCCAAATTATTCATATTAAGTTGGAGCTACTCCAGAGTTTGTAGAGAAAGCTCGAACTCATACAAATGTAATCAGATAATACACAAAGGAAAATGAAGCATATACTCCTTAACCAGCTCCCTATGTATTAAAATAGATAATTTAATTTTAGGATGCTAAATGGAGGTTTTTTTGGCCTATTGATGATTCTGGTAAGAGAACTAAAGATGAAGAGTATATATACTAAATTAAACTATTAGTTTTAAACCTCCAAGATTTAGACCAAAGGATGTTCCTTAATTTGGAGAGAGAATGGAATAATGGGGTAAAATGATGATTAATGGATGTTTAACTGTAGCAGAAATGGCTGCAAGAGGCATGAGTATACCTGCTGATACATTTACAACTAGAATGTAAGGTGGTCCACATCTACTTGCACCAACTGGATCTGATTTAGATAGACATAAACTTGGAACTGTATTTGCAGGATTTCATTATGATCTTAATTTCTTAACTATTCATGGAAAAAGTCGCTATCCAGGTCTTTATGTATGGTTAAGGAATGGAGAAAGAATTTCTGTTGCTGTTCCTGAAGGACATCTTTTATTATAAGCTGGTGCCTAATTTGATTTACTGACTGGAGGATATGTTACTTGTGGTTATCATGAAGTACCTAATCTATTTTATATATTAAATTAGGTCATATATACTGATGATGCCAAAAAAAAATATGAAGAAAATAAAAAAACTGGTAAAAGTACCTGGAGAGTTTCTTCTACTTTATTTTCACATATTAATTCTGATGTCACTCTATAGCCCTTAGATAAATTTGCTAAATAAGGATTACCTGATAAATATAAACCTATCAAAGCTTTTGATTAAGTCTAATAAGAATTAGAGGCTATCAAATTAAAATGATGTTTTCTTTATACACAAAAAATATATTTATTATATTATCAGCAAACTATTCTAATATATTTATTATAATTTTAAAATGAGTGAAGAGATTGAACCCTATATTGCTAAAAAATTTGAAATCATTCAAAAATTAGGAAAAGGAGCATATGGAATTGTATGGAAAGCCATTGATAAAAAATTGAAATAAGTATTCTTCTTCTTCTAATTTCAAATAGGTTGTTGCCTTAAAAAAAGTTTTTGATGCTTTTCATAATGCCACTGATGCCTAAAGAACATTTAGAGAAGTCATGTTTCTTTAGGAATTAAATGGACATGAAAATGTAGTTCGTTTACTCAATATTATGAAAGCTGAGAATAATAAAGATTTATATTTGGTATTCGATTATATGGAGACTGATCTACATGCAGTTATTGTAACAAACTCTTCTTCAATATTAGCGTGCCAATATTTTGGAAGAAATACATAAGAAATATATTGTTTATTAAATCTTAAAGGCTCTCAAATTTGTACATTCAGGAGAATTAATTCATAGAGATCTTAAACCATCTAATGTCCTTTTGAATTCAGAATGCTTAGTTAAGGTTGCAGATTTTGGATTAGCTAGAAGTCTTGTGTAAAATGAAGATGATGGTAAGAATAATATCACATATTTTTTTAAAGGAATGGTTCTCCTCACTGAATATGTGGCTACTCGATGGTATCGTGCACCTGAAATCTTACTTGGATCTACAAAGTATAGTAAGGCAGTAGACATGTGGTCTGTTGGTTGTATAGTAGGAGAACTGATATTAGGAAGAGCAATATTTCCAGGAACATCATCATTGAATTAAATAGAACGTATTATAGAGTTACTTGGAAAACCAAAAGCAGATGAATTAGAATCATTAGAAAGCCAATTGGCTGGTAATATTCTAGCTTCTATAAATGTCTCGAAAAAGAAATCATTTGCTTAATTCTTTACTGGAGCTAGTGAAGAAGCACTTGATTTAATAAGAAGATTACTTTGTTATAATCCAAAAATAAGATTGACAGCAGAATAAGCATTAAAACATAGATATGTTATAGAGTTCTCGTAGCCAGATGAAGAGATTGTAAGTTTGTAACCATTTAAAATTTCTATGAATGACAATAAGAAATTTACAATAAAAGAATATCGTGAATCTTTGTATGCAGATATATCTTAAAGAAAGAAGGATCAAAGAAAAAAATGGTAGCTAAAATATTTGGCATAATTGGGTGTCAATTTAGAAGAAGAGAATGATAAAAAGTACTTTAATCCATCTATAACAGACTCAAAAATAAAGAACCAAGTCCAAAACGTAAAGATGATATAATAGATTTAAATAAAGTGGATGATTTGTAATTGATTTATCAATAACAGATGCAATAATAAATTCAGTAATAAAAAAAGAATTTGAGACCATAATCCTAATCTGGAAATTAAGCTAGGTAACATAGTCAAGATGTAGCAAGAACAATTTCTTAAGAAAATTCATAGTAATAAATTTAACATACCTAATAAACACATCATAAATCAAATTCAATAGTTATGAATTCAAATTAATATAAACAAGGTTATTATTATCCATTCCAGTAACCTACTAATAATTAGTAGACTTCTAAATATAATGGAATCAATAAATCAGCTAATAATATTGTGCAATAATAAATGGGAAGATCTTCAACGGGATACTATTAAAAAGTCAATAAAAAATGATTTATGCTAAAAAAAATATAATTTATAAAAAAATGAAAACTTCATACTATTGGCGTAATCAGAAAATATAGATTTAACCTACAACTAGTCCTTAGAATAAAACTAAATTCGAAAATCGATTGATCAAAACTAAAAAGTAACTAAGCTTTCATGAATAAGAGAATTGGAATGATGAACATATTATTAAATATCGTAATCACTTGAAAGATGTGAGAGAATTAAGATCAAAATGGTAAATCATTGATAGACCATAGAATGCGTCAGTCTAAGAAAAGGCTAGATCAGACATTTTAGACATAGAATAATCAGTAATTATTTAATTATATAATTAGATTCATCATGTATCCATTGAAAAACCAAAAAAGAAAATTACTATTCGTCCATTCAGTTCTAAATAACACAGACTATTATAATAAATATCACAAATTTACTCTTTTCAAACATGTGCTAATCGTTAAAATAAAATGAAACTCTTTTTATAAGCTGATGATAATTATGCAAATCGTTCATTCAGATATTATAAGAATTTTACAAATTATCTTAACTCAATCAAGTGACTTTTTATATATTTATATAATATAAATATTATATAATCATCTTATCAGAATTTTAGATTTTGGGTCAAGAAATAGATCAAGATTATGAATCTACTAGAGAAGTTAAATAAACGAAACCATTATTTAGAAACTCTGGAAATATGCTCAATGTTTAGGATATATATCATCATATATTATGAAGGCATCCCCCAAAGAACGATTAAAGACACCTCTTACTCCTATATGTAATCTAGCCTAACTTAGTAATTAAAATNAGAAAGAAGGATCAAAGAAAAAAATGGTAGCTAAAATATTTGGCATAATTGGGTGTCAATTTAGAAGAAGAGAATGATAAAAAGTACTTTAATCCATCTATAACAGACTCAAAAATAAAGAACCAAGTCCAAAACGTAAAGATGATATAATAGATTTAAATAAAGTGGATGATTTGTAATTGATTTATCAATAACAGATGCAATAATAAATTCAGTAATAAAAAAAGAATTTGAGACCATAATCCTAATCTGGAAATTAAGCTAGGTAACATAGTCAAGATGTAGCAAGAACAATTTCTTAAGAAAATTCATAGTAATAAATTTAACATACCTAATAAACACATCATAAATCAAATTCAATAGTTATGAATTCAAATTAATATAAACAAGGTTATTATTATCCATTCCAGTAACCTACTAATAATTAGTAGACTTCTAAATATAATGGAATCAATAAATCAGCTAATAATATTGTGCAATAATAAATGGGAAGATCTTCAACGGGATACTATTAAAAAGTCAATAAAAAATGATTTATGCTAAAAAAAATATAATTTATAAAAAAATGAAAACTTCATACTATTGGCGTAATCAGAAAATATAGATTTAACCTACAACTAGTCCTTAGAATAAAACTAAATTCGAAAATCGATTGATCAAAACTAAAAAGTAACTAAGCTTTCATGAATAAGAGAATTGGAATGATGAACATATTATTAAATATCGTAATCACTTGAAAGATGTGAGAGAATTAAGATCAAAATGGTAAATCATTGATAGACCATAGAATGCGTCAGTCTAAGAAAAGGCTAGATCAGACATTTTAGACATAGAATAATCAGTAATTATTTAATTATATAATTAGATTCATCATGTATCCATTGAAAAACCAAAAAAGAAAATTACTATTCGTCCATTCAGTTCTAAATAACACAGACTATTATAATAAATATCACAAATTTACTCTTTTCAAACATGTGCTAATCGTTAAAATAAAATGAAACTCTTTTTATAAGCTGATGATAATTATGCAAATCGTTCATTCAGATATTATAAGAATTTTACAAATTATCTTAACTCAATCAAGTGACTTTTTATATATTTATATAATATAAATATTATATAATCATCTTATCAGAATTTTAGATTTTGGGTCAAGAAATAGATCAAGATTATGAATCTACTAGAGAAGTTAAATAAACGAAACCATTATTTAGAAACTCTGGAAATATGCTCAATGTTTAGGATATATATCATCATATATTATGAAGGCATCCCCCAAAGAACGATTAAAGACACCTCTTACTCCTATATGTAATCTAGCCTAACTTAGTAATTAAAATATTTTCTATTATCATCCTCTTATTAAGTTTCTACAAGAAGAACATCCTTTAGATGAATATTTTAAGTAAATCTTATTCAAAATTAGAGACGTAAATTTATAGAAGAAAAAAAGAAAGATATTTTAAATAATTAATCATCAAAAACATCTAAAAATTGAAAGGTCTTTGTAATGATATTTTTCTATGACTCATGTAATATAAATTCTAAAAATCTCAAGAGTTTCATAACTAATAAA